CTGTTTCACTTCCTCACAGTATGCGTGTGTGCTGAACCAGACTGAAAGGCTGTGGTTGTGAGCCAGGGAGGTAGTAAATGGGTGGTAACTTGCCTTTTACCTTGTCTTCACTATGCTTTTTTCATAGCAGCATCCAGCATTCTGAGTTTTGGCTCTGGAGTCCTGTGTTTGCTTCTCCAAAGGTCTGCTTCCCAGGAGGTAAAAACCTGGTGCCCTTGGATCCGCATCTGGCAGCATAAACCCGAAAGGACAGGGCAGGACAAGTATAAATCTTGCTGCAATATCCAGTGTGTGCCAAATGTGGTGGGCTTTAGGGTTATACAATGTATGCTCTTTTCTACTTGAATACTGGCTCCCGCATTTCCAGTCCCTTAGCCAGCAGCGTGTGCTTTGCTGACCACACAGACTGTCAATGACAACTTCATTAACAGGTTAAGTTCACAGTGCAGTGCTGGTGCTTCCAGTTCCCTTGACCCTTGCCTTGAATGAGATTCACGGGTTGTTTTGCTTTTAAAGTGCAAGCTTGAGCTCATTACACTGCTGCTGTTTTGTGTGGTCAGATGTGGAAACTGAAATCTCTTGGTGAGTAGCATGATGTTTACTGCTTGTGGGTCTTTTCATTGCCAAGAGTCAAAACAGAACTGAGCAAAGTGAAAAGAAACTGTACCTCAATACTCACTCCTGGTAGTCTTTCCAGTACGATATACTAGAATTAAAATTTTGCAGATTTATTTCTGTTGATGAGGTCTGGGTTTGGGGTTTTGTCTAAGGCAAATCAGAAAGCAGTTTCTGTACTGGCAAGAACCGCGGTATTATTGAAATAAAAGCAGGCTGTATTTATGCGTAGTGTGGTATGATCCCAAGTATCTTTCTTCAGGAAAACATCTATTCATGCATGTTTGAACCCAAATGGTAGGACTAAAACTGGCATTGGTAGCTCTGCAGGGCTGCTGTAATCATACCTAGTTTTTCATGGTCCTACCCAGGACTTCAGGGATGTTACGTGTTTTGGTCTGCTTCCTGCAACTGCCTTTTGTCCCTTCATCATGGAGTGCAATTTGGGTTTAGACTTAATGAGCGACCATTATGTTCAGCACTGTGGCAGTTTCTCATGGCATACATCTGTCAGTAAGTATAAAGTTGTTAAAAACTCAATATTAGTTAGGGGATTGCATTGTAGAAAAAAATGGCAGAAATGCATGTGTACATTTGATAGCTATAATAGTCTTATTCCACAAGCTTCATATGGAAGAAAAACATAATGTCTAATGTTGAGTTATAGGCCCTTTCTCTTGTGTAGCCATGATATTAACTAGTTTTTGTGGGGAACAGTTGCTGCAACAGACTTAAATCTGATGCTGATGCTGCAGTACTGTGCGCTTAGGAAAACAGTGGGTGAGCCAAAGGCAATGTCACTTTTTTTACCCTCAAAGAAAAATAAATTGTTCCAAAGGTGCCTATAAATCCTTATGGTCAGGTGGATATTCTCTGTTTCACTTTAAGAAACAGACATAGAAGGATTTATGCTTTTTTTAGTCCAGTCTGTTCCTGCAGTCAGCACCATATCATATAATAACTTTCATAAATTCACCGAACTGTGACTCGAAAAGCAGAACCTCACAAACTTAAAGTAATGTTTCTTTCTGTTTAAAACTACAATTCCCTTTCAACTGAATCAGTATAAAGGGAACAAAACTACTACAATTTCAAGCATTGAGGAGAAAATTGCTATGGATGTCTCAATAGATACTAGGAGAGAGAGTAATAGAGTTGGGCAGCTGCTTGCATAACTAAAACGTACAAGGTTGTCTGTATGTTTGCAGGATTTTATGCAAATCCTGAGGCTTTTCCCTCCTCTGATTAAACATGTGCAAAACAGAATAAATCCTCTCACAGTGGATCTTGTTGTAGCTAATTTCTGCAACTTCCAGACATTGGTAAAGCCTGCCTTATATGTAATACAGCTGTAGCTGTGGTCTCTGTCCTGGAGACTGATTCCTAAAAGCTGTAAGTTAGTTGCCCTGTTGCAGACCTGTGAGTTTTTCTAGAATGGATATCACTTACAGATTGGTAGCTATAAAGGGCAAGAAACTCTTTGCATCTTCCAGGTCTGCTCCATTTACTTGTATTTTTTTTTCCCTTTTTTCCACTGAGTTACTAACATTTACCTTCTAAAAAGAGGCTTTTTTCCTTGTATGTTTATCTGGACTTGTTGGATGGATAACTGTATTATTCATTACCCTTTTTCCTTTTTTGCTGGTTTCTTTGCTTCCTCATACTGTTTCCTGTTTATTCCTCAGTGTACTGCACTTACCCACCAGACAGGGTAGCCTCCCTGCCCAGAATAGGATGGTTCCAGATTAATCTTCAAGGCTCTTCACCACACTGGAAATAAATCCAAAATAGTTCTGCTCTGGTTAAATAACAGGAGGTTTGAAAAGCTGGGGAGTAGCTTTCACCTTGGATCAGCATCTTATTCAGAGCTCGGATAATGACTCAATTTTATATGGACCCTTTTATAAAACCAGACCCAACCCACCCAAACACATCCTTTCTTCTGCCTCCCAAAACCAGCAGCAGGTTATGAATAAAGTTTTTTATGTCACAAGAAGAGGAATTCGGAGGGTTATAAATTACAACCTAGACCTGCTCTGGAGACTGCCATTCTCTTGCTAGTGTTGTGCACAGGTTGCTATTAGCCCTTGCTTTGAAGCACGAAGCGATGACTTCCTAATGGACATTCAACAGTAAGGTGGTTAAATGTAATACCTGGGCTGGTGCTGACACATGGAGCTCTTTCTGCTGGTGAACCTCACCTGTATGGTGAAGGAAAGCCTGAGGAAGAGCTGCTTGTAACGGAAGTAGTAAACTTTTGAACCAGAAGAAAGAAAAGCCGTTAGAAGGGGGGATAAGGGACCTGATGTGTGTATCTTCAAAGACAGTTCCAAAGTAATGGGGTTTTTTTGGTGCCCTGGACTGAAGGTGTCAGAAAAATTGTTTCACGAAAACTGAGAATTAGAAGAGTAATGAATCCAGTGCAAAGTACCAAATGCTGCTCTAGGGGCATATGGTTCATCTCACTCGAGATGGTCCATTGGACAATAGGGTCAGCTTCAGGTCATGGTGAATACCTCCTGTGGTTCAGCGAGCTCCTCCTGCTATGCATACAACTCTTTGTCTAGAAGACACGTTTTAGGAATAAAATTCTGTAGAAAGAGCTAGCTGACTCAGGTGAAACCCACTTTTGCTGGGACTACACATTCTGTTTCTTCTTCCTGGCCCTCTGTTTTGTAGAAGACAAATGCTGTGACATTTTGTCTTAGTGTGTATATCTATTTAGTCTATAAAATGTCATTAATAAGGATGACTTTTGGGACCCTTGGCATGGACCCATAACACTTGAACACACAACACAGGACGGAGACGGGAAACTTGTCAGGGATAAAACTCTCCTCACCAAAGAAGCTTTTATACTGCAAACTACAGTTCTCCTAATAACAGTTGCTCCACACAGCTTTGTGCGATACTGTCCCAGATTTATGGCTGGTGGTTTCCTGAAGAGCTATTTGGGTAGTCCATGCTTCCAGTGAAACAACTTTCATATGTCCTGTAACAAATCCAAATGTGTAATGGAGTAGGTCATTTGTCTTGAGTTTTAATGCAAAATAAAGTGATGTGGTGAGCTTTTTTCTTCTCTGTGGTGGGGGAAAAACTGGTTCATTTTCAACTTGGATCCCAGCTTTCTGATTTCTGAAGTCACCCATGTGGAGGTGATGTTAGATTTGTAATGCTGTCTCACGCAGCATAGAGCAACACTGTCTTAGTGACAGTAAGTAAAGCGAACTAATGTCTTCAGGTCTATTCTTGTCCATTTGTAATAGTATTAATGTCCTTCTAACAACAGCAAAGATTGCCAAAGCGGGGGCGGGGATATTAGGAAAGAGCTGACAAGATTTACAGCTCTTGTAATGTGATTTAGCTGCTAGAAATAAGAATAATATCAGAGGCCCAAAACAGTTAGACTACCAATGTAAGGAACTTTGGGTCCAGGGATTAGGATGCTAACCTTTTTCAAGAGTGCTTTGGTAGCAGTTTCTATTGGCTACTTAATATAAACACACTGGATTAATACAGCTTTATGTCTGTTGCTAACCTTTTGAAATGGTTATGTATTTAATAATTACTGTTCTCAATCTACTACTGTATCTATCACATCTAAGTCTCAAAAACATAACTAGTTTACCACCTTGAAGAGTTAAGTCACTGTTTGACAGGAGGCCATCCCACCCGATGGACAGTGGGAATGCCTCAGCCAATTCACTGTCAGGCAGACATCAAATGCATGAAGTATTTTGGGCTGTTTCAACAAAAAGCTTCACTCCTTCCTTCAGCACCAGCACCATGTGTTTCACAGGTGAGCATGGAGAGCTGCCACATGATGCGGGAGGAGGACGAACTGCAGGAGTGCTCTGTACCAAGACGAGCATTGCTGTGAGGTTGGGCTGCGGAGCACCTCGGCTGCAGGAAAAAGCCTTGCCCAGCACATTGCTGGCCTTGATGCTCTTGGGGTTCAGCCCTAGCATAGCTATCACAGAGTTTTTTAAGTGCAAACATCAATAGTACACAGCACTCAGTGTTTTCTTCTGTTTTCCGCTTGGAGTACTGGCTATTTAAAAGCCTAGTGCTATTCAAAAGATCTGAGCCCCTGATCACAGGGGTGTGAAAACACAAAATAAATTAGACCCCTTAGGGGGAATATACTTCAAAGCATGCTGTTTGGTTATTGAAGGGTCAAAACCATGCAGTGCAGATATGATTCTCTAGTCATTTTGATCTGCCATGTGAATGAATATGAGAATTTTTTCCTTAGCCTGTGCCCTTTTCTCTTGCTGATTATGATTATGCTGTGGTAGTGACATTAAAAGTATGATGGTTGCGAATGAAAGATGTCACTTCTATTAATCACAAATAGCAATGTTTCTGAAATGATGTCTCTGTAGGTGGATGGAGGTCTGCTTGGATGAAGAGCTGCCCCCAACTACAGAGCTGGAGGAAGGCTTAAGAAATGGTGTTTACCTTGCCAAGCTTGCAAAATTCTTTGCCCCTAATGTGGTGTCAGACAAAAAGATCTATGATGTGGAGCAGACACGCTATAAGGTAATAATTTTTTCAGTTCTCTCACTAACAAGATAAAAAAAAATGTAGTATCTGTTTTCCAACTCTTAAAGGTACCCAAGCGTGGTTGGCTAACTTTCTGTATCTCTTCCATAAGGCTGTCAGGACTAGATGGAAGACACACAGCACTGAGCAGCCAGTGTGATAAGTTAGAAATGTTTTACCCTTAGAAAACCTATGTTAGTGTCACTTCATGTTTTTCAAGCTGAACAAATTATACTTCTGGCTCCAGGGAGAATGTAAACTTTACCATTTATACAATTATTTCTCATTAAGAATAGGAACCAAAAGCAATTCAGTAATTAAACTTGATAACAATTTAGAATTTTCCTCATTTTGTATAGAAGGACATTCACTTCATTAGATCTGTGTGTTCATTTTACCAAATTTAACACTGAGAAGCCAAAACAAGCTAAAAGCTAAATTAAGTTTAACTTGCTACCTGTGCAAGCTGTTCGTTAACTCCAAGATCCTCAATAATATAGAAATAAATATATGCGTATAGAGTAGCCCCACTGTGGAATACATTATCTCAGCATGTAGAGGGTGCAGAAAAAAAATCAAAATGAACTTTTCTAAGGTGTAATCACTGGCTGTTGTTCAAGAGCTGAGAAATTAAGCTGTTCTAGGTCCCACATGGTTAACAGAACCTTGGTTAAGAATCCTGGTTGTATTTAAATGCTTTTCTTGAAAATCTCCAAAACCTGAGTTAAGGCTTGTTTCTCCCCTTTTCATTTTTAAAGAGTCAATGTAAAAGAAAAATTATAATACTTTCCCACTTTGCTGTTCTAACTGCTGCTTGTGTAGGCTGTGGGGAGGGTCAGATATTCAAGTAGATGTGAACAGTGACCAAGAGGTCCTTATCTGTTCTCCTTCACAGTAGTGCTGAGCAGTGTTACCAGTTCTGTGTTTTAGAGGCAGTGGTTCCTGATATTCGACAGCCAGCCTTTACTCCCAAAGACCACTGAAGGGCTGTATAAATGGCCACTTCAGTCACAGTCCACCTCTGGGTGCAAATCCAACTCAGGTTTCATAAAAGAATGAGCTGGATAGTGTGGGGCTGTTGATCTGTCAGGATGCTTCATTAGCAGGATTGCAGCTGTGGTGCTTTGGTCTCCAGGCTCAAATGAGGGAAAATTCCCTGAACTCGACTTCAGGATATAGAATTGGGAAGCAATAGGAGGATCAGTAAATAACTAGCTTTGTCATTTTTATCATCTTTTCTCTCTATGTTTCCAACAGAGATCTGGCCTTCACTTTCGGCACACTGACAACACTGTGCAGTGGTTAAGAGCAATGGAGTCCATTGGTCTGCCCAAGGTAAGCTTTTAAATTTTAGGAAAGAAACTGGCTCGAGGCACTGACTCAGAGACCTTCTTTCATCTGCTTGAGCGTAAACGGTTGCTTACAGTAAGTCTACAGGGAAGGGGTAATTCAGGAAACAAATCTGAAGAGAAGATAACGCTGAAAGCAGTGGCAGTGTCAGTTATGTGCTACTGGTGATGGTGTTTGTGGGCTGAGGCTGCTGTGAATGAGTGCTGTGGGTGGAAATGCTCAGGGTGCTTCTCCTGTGGGAAGACAAATGGGGACGCTAGCAGTGTTTTAGCTATATCTTGTTGCTAGTACAGTCTCTGTTGGGGCCTGAAAGGAATATGGTTTCAAACTGAAAACTTAAATGTTTGCTTCCTTTAGGTTACTACCTCTCACTGTGTCTTTTGCTGTCTCTTTCTCTTAATGTACGTCCCAGTTTCTCTGCCTCTACCCTGTTTCCAGACTCTCCTTGCACGCTCCAGTGTGCCTGCGTGGCTATGCTGCTGCTCCTCTTCCACCAGCTACTTTCTTGGGTCACCTCTCATACCTATGTTCCTCCTTGCGGGCCTTCACTTGTCATCTTCCCCCTCTGCTGCTGTTTCTGGGCACCAGTGAGTCTTTTCAGATGAAAATCCTTTAAAAAAGGGCCACGTGAAAACACCTAGTCTGCTTGTTTGGACATTTCAGCACCCACCCATATCCTGGGGTGAGTACTCCTTGCCCAGACTGCCCAGCAGCCGCCCCGGATTGCCTGGATTGGGGCAGCCCCGGCACTACCCCATGTGCTGTGGGATTGGGCACAGCGGGGATGTTCAGACAGCTGCCTGAAGGGCTGCAGGGGCTAGTGGCCAGTCACTGTGGGCAAATGTGCCACAGGTGCCCATAAGTAGAAAAGGGGACCTGTGACTGCCATCAGAAATGCAGTAGAGGTGAGGAGACTCCTGCCTCTCTCAGGTCAGGCTTATTTTTTTTTTGTCTAACTTGAGTCCTCCATTCAGTTGGCTCACTTCCACCCTGCCATCCCTCCTCTGAAAGATTTTGCCTTGGTTGCAGAGGATGGCCATGGCCAAAATCTTAAGTCTTGAGTCTCCCTCCCAAACCTGTTGTGAGCAAATGTGGGCACTGCGCTCCTGATTTACTTGGTCTTGTCCTATTAACCGTGGGACCGCATAGCCCTGAGTGCTGGGCCTGGGCTGGAAGCATGCTGCCAACTCTCACGGTTAGCTAAGTCTTTTATTTTATTTTTGTGGAGAAGCAGTGTTTAGTTACTGGGACCAAGGCCAGGAACAAATTAGTGGTAGAACCAGAATTGGAACTTATGATGTGACTTTTTGGCTAAATTGTTTAATATTCTTCTCTGAAAAATCTTTCTCTGTAAATGATGTATCCACACAGTTAGTGGTGCTGGCAATTAGAATTTTGCATTTTTAAAACACACTTGATAGGTTTCACTCTGTGAGGCTTTGCAGATTGTAACTACATCATAAGCTTTGGGTGTCTGTAAGAAGGACAAGCCCTACTGGCTGAGCTTGTGCCAAAGGATCTTTTCTAAAAATCTTGCTGAAATGCTGTCTGCTTGTCTTCCTTTTCTCCCCTCTTCATAAGTAGCTTTTGTGCTTTAGTAAACTATTCCTTATGAAAACTAGTGATCAAGTTAAAAGAAGAGATTTGATGCATAACTGTATAGAAGTAATAGCTGAACTTATCTGCAAGTTTAAGGTATGGTTCTGCAGAAAGCTTATTTTAGCTACTTTTCTGCTCAGTAATGAGTCTTCTCCTTTAACTGTGTGCTCTTTGGCTTTTAGATCTTTTATCCAGAGACTACAGATGTCTATGACAGGAAAAACATCCCTAGGATGATATATTGCATTCATGCTCTAAGGTAACTGGTGACGGGAGTGAAAGTTGAAGTAACTGCTATATTTAGGAGCATAAGTCTTGAAGTGGCTTTCTGGTAACAAGTATATCAAAATCTGACAAAATTTACAAATTCATTAATTTAAAGTTGGAGAAAAAAGTTCAACTTTTTCAGGACAAATGGCCAAATGGCCAAATTGTTTTCAAAATACAAATGAAGGACTATTGAATTTAGCGCAGACATCCCTCTCAAGGAGTACATCCCCTCACAAAGCACACATATCTCTTTCAAAACACAAACTGCAACAGAAACCGCATAAATTAGCAAAAACTTAGCAAAATAATAATGTAAACATGGGGCAGGCGTGCTGATCAGAGTGAAAACGATGATGAAGTGACATATTTTTGTCCCAAAAGAGGAGCAAATAATTGCTGTACTCTGAGCTCATTCATGTGAAAATTAACATTTTCCAAGCTTTTAAAGTTCTGAGCAACTTACTTTTGAATGAAAAGGCAAGAAGGCTTTGACCACACCACTGAAGGTAGAGCAGAAAATTTTTTTATGACCTAACTTAAGTATTTTCTTGATGTTTAGAACTAAAAGCAACAAGCGTCTGCTTTGTGCTGTCCCGGGTGTGAAGCAATGCGGTTATTGAGCTTTCTAACAGAACTATGTAGATTTAACACAGAGAAGATATTTTCTTACTTCCGTTCTTGGAAATCCTGATGCCATCTTTAGTTGAGATTTTTTTCCTATGTTAATTCATTTATGTACAGTCAGTGTGCATAACTTAAGTGCTTAAATTTGACAAGATTATTTTTAATTACCTCTTTAAGAAGCATGAAATAGCCTTAACTGTAGGTAATAGGAGCAAAAATCTCCTTCTGTCCAAAGGATCTATTTAACATCTGAAATGTTAATATTTCAAAGGGAAAGTCTTTGGTTATTTGTGGGTTTGCTGATATTTGAGATGCTAGAGGGCCTGAAGATAGACAGTGACTCTAAGCAAAATGGTTTAAATATATTTTTAAGATATGTCTTTGTTCAAATCTGAAATGAAGTCCATTGTACTTCGAGTATGTGGAACAACTTGCACTGTCAAATACAGCACTACTCTGGCCAGGAAGGAGTCACTTAACAAACACTTTCTAGACTTCTGTTGAATATAATTACCCTCTTGCTTTTCTCCTGTGGAGTTGTCAGTCCTTAAAGCCAGACCTGAAAAATATAAAGTTATAGTTCTAATTTCTTGCACCAGTTTTCTTGTGAAAGCCAATGTAGATTTGGCCCTGCACTAAAAGTGGTTAAGACCTGCTTCATTTAAATTAGGATGCTGACAGTGATTCTCCTTCCTAAATAGTAGTCTTTGTAAGACTTTTTTTTTCCCTGAAAAATATAGTTTTCATATCATCTTTACAAGCAGATCACTGCTACATCCTGGACAAACTATCCCTCTGAAGCTGGATGGCTTCAAAATGTTTTCCTAGGAAGCAGTAGAATGCTAAGCATTTGTTTCAAGAAAAAGTGCATTGTTTTCAGATCTGTTTTTTAAAGCATGTTACATATGAGCTAAGCTTAAAACAAGACCCACGAACCTCTGCCTGACATGAACTGCAGTTCTGCATGGGCGATGCAAAGGGAACTTCACTTGGGAACTGCCCTTTTCCTCTTTGCTTCTTCCTTGCTCCTGATGCCTCATATACAGCTTTCTTAACCCCAAGACCCCCTGCTTTTGGTTTGATGTGAGTTCCCTGAGGTTCAAGTTACACTATAAAAGCATTAAGCGAGCTGTTTCAAGTGAAATTATACCTTAATACAGAGTAGAAGCATCTTTGTGTTCCGTGCAAGACTCGAAGCATGTTTTCAGCACCACCTGGTGGTTCAGAAGTTTATCCAAACAAAGGAGCCTAGGAAGTAACTCTCACTGCTCAGTATCCTCCTGGAACTGCTGAACAGCAAAAATATGAATCTCTAATGTACATACCACCTTTTTTCCTCCATCTTTTTATTGTGGTGACCCCAAAAAAGGCCACCATGGCACTGTGATGCTGCTGATCTCCTTCACTCTTTGTATGACATCCAGTGCTTCAGCTAGGCCTATGTCCCTGTCTCAAACTTAAGAGTAAAATCTCTTTAAAAGCCCAGAAGGAAAGACTGTCTAGTAGGTCAGGGTAATGGAGGGACCTGGTTCATTACTACAGTCATATGGGGTTTTTCCTGCTATACCTAACTTGTATTTAAGACTGCTCTGAAAGGTGAGAATGGCAGCAGTCATGATTTTGAAGGGCTGCAGCAGTCAAGAGTGACCTACATGAGATGTGCCTTTGTGTGCATCTAGGTAATGACAGTGAAGGGAAGTAGTTGTGGTAGCATGGAAGATGAAATGCTGATTCTATGTGCTCTGAAATAAATGTGAAAGCTACAAAAAGTTGCATTGAAATATCATCCTGTAATTTGCTAATAACAAAAAAATCCCCGACAACAAAATAAAAAGGGAAATGTGCCCCTCTGGAAACAAAAAGCCCAAGCCACAAGGCACATTTGCAATGTATGAAGTTGGGGTGAAGTCATTTAAAAAAGAGGTGCAAAATAATCCTTTTGGAGGAATGCATTATTTAAGCCTTGTTTTTAAACTCTACCTTTTTGAGCCTGCTTGTGAAACTTACTTGTTTATTGAATTTCACTGATAAATTATAGAAACACCAAACTTTTGTAGATAAATACATGCCTTGTGTTTGGAAGATATTGAGACAATATGGATGTACTCTACTGTTTTTTCAGGTAACACCCCAGAGCTCTAGGAATAATGAGTATAGACTTTTTTATGCTATATTGAAAGAAAAATATTAGTTCCTGGATAGCACTTTGAGCTTTCTTCATTTTCCAAAAGCTAAATAGCTAATGACACAAATATATTTCAGAAGGGCTTGGATGGACTTACAGGTCCTTGTTCCTCTACTCTTACCAAAAAGGTTGTCAGTGACTTATGTGTCTTCAGCTATTAATTACAGGGATGTAACAACGCAAGTCAAAACAGTACACAGATCCAAAGCTATAGGATATACTAAAGTGCATTCACATCTTGATTTTTATTTTCCCAAAACTAGCTTTTGAATTTCTCTGTCTTCCACTAATGTTTCCTACTTGTTTACACATCCCCTGTGATCTGAGATACACTGACAGTGCCGCTCTCTTAGAGATGTCTCTGAAAAGTCAAGTCAAAAAAGAATTCGCTTTCTGTAAGACTTAAAAATACAGCATAAAGAAAACTGTAGGGTTAATTTATTTTGTATTGGCTCACGAAACTCAAGGGTTAAAGGACAAGCTTTGTAAAAGTGCTCTTCTCTTGTACAGAAAGCAAACACCTTGACCACATGCAGGACTTTAAAATCGAATTTTCTTCTTTACAGTTTGTATCTGTTCAAACTAGGATTAGCACCACAGATCCAGGACCTATTGGGAAAAGTAGACTTCACAGGTAATAAATTGCTTATCTAATCATATGCTAGATGGTTTCCTCACCCAGTAAATCTGCTAACATTGTACATATTTTCTGTTATGGTGTTTCTCCTCCCACAAGCTTGTCCTGAGCACCTCCTAATTAAATAGGTGGGAGGCTGCTATTTCTAATGGATGTCAGCCTCCAAAGGACAGAAGGGAGTGAATTTGCATGGAATACTTGTCATAACTTAGATTCCTTCAAAACGGGGAGGAAAAACTGCTAAGAAGCCCTGGCCACAAGCGCTTTCAAAAACATTGTACCCGTGTTTGTAGGTATCGTGATCCATAACTAAATTCGTATGGTTTTGTTCTGAGAATATTTCTTTTTTTATATGTGAACAGAGGAAGAAATCAGCAACATGCGAAAGGAGCTTGAGAAATATGGTATACAGATGCCATCTTTTAGTAAAATTGGTGGGATTCTGGCCAGTGAATTATCAGTGGATGAAGCTGCCTGTAAGTGTGGCTCTTGTTCAGTTTTCTATTGGAGAATTTGACGGAATGCTAACAAAATATTTTCTGTGTTTTAATTCACCTAGTTTGCCACCTCAGTAAATAGCAAGTAAAGCAAGGATGTTTTCACTATGACACTGCATCATTGTTACAACACCTCTTGCAATTTTTCAGTCTGCATGTTTGAGCATCTCCATTGAACCATAGGAAGTGCTACCAGAAACAAAGACATCTTACTATGTTTTGCATGGGTTTAATGTTTTTGTAGCTAGTGCTTCTGTAGAATGACAAATTGAGCTCTGTGCATGCCTCTGTACCATAGGGCCTACAACGGAGACAGTCATGAGAAGACGGTGTGTTCTCTCTGCCTGCTTCCTGTGTTGGGGTCTTGCAATTTTCCTCAGAAAGCCGGTCAATTTGCTGTGAGGACAAGGCACTGTTTCAGACAGACAACTCTCTCACATATGGTGGTGCATATCCAGAGGAACAATGTGCCTCCATGAGTAGCTTTCGATCTGTGTCACCCACAGCATGATAGAACCCTGCTAGAGGACACATCCTGCTGGTGCATCCAAAATAAGCTTTTCATTTTTAGGGGGATTGATACACAGTTATGGTCCTTTTCAGTCTATTTTGAACAGCTTCCACTCAAAACCAAAATTAAATGCTTTTTTGCTGCCCGAGTCTATCTGTAAATCTGTTTTTTCTCTCTAGTTCTTCTTTTTGTGAAATGAAGTTATATATTTAAAAAGAAAAATTGCTTGAACTTAAATGACATGAAGTGTTTCCACTTAAATCCATACTGGAGCTGTACTTATTTTCATCAAAATCTTAGCCTTTTTCAGAGGGCTAGACTGAGGAACAGAAGGGCTATCTTGAGTGTATTCAATGGCACAGTGGGTCATTGATAGAAACCAGCAATAGTATCGCAGACCGTAAATGGGGAGGTGGGGGGAATAAAGACTGTATTATAGTTATGTTCCACTACAACTTTGCTAAACCTTGCAAAGTAACATAACTGGAACAAGCTGATGCATTATGTTACTTGATGTGCTGAAATTTCCAGACCTTAACTTAAAACACACTTCCTCATGTTGATTCACGTTGTCTGTGTTGTATGTCTCGGAGGCCGTTATAGCTGAATATGTGCATGCTTCTGCAAAGCTAACTTTTAAAGTACTGCCTTTGGAAGTGGGGGTAGTTTGTCTCCTTTTTTAGCAAATTTTCAGAGATTTAGTGACTACCAAGCACTTTTCCAGGGAGCTTTCTTCCTTCCCTGAAGACAAAAAGGGCTGCAACTTCCTTCTCTGAAAGCCTTATTATAGTGCATGTAGGGTTTCCTTTAACTTCTGAATTGTTTTCAGTCTTCCATAGAAAAGCAGGGTTTCCTGATGCTGATTCTGTCCCTTTGGGCAAGGAGTGTGCTGTAGATAACATGCCCTGCCCCAGAACAGGAAACATCTGCTATGGGAACCCTCACGCACTGCTGAGGTTGGATGTGGAGATCCTGCTGGAGGAAAGGGTCAACCACCTTCCTTCCAAATCAGAGTGAGCACAACAAGATATGAAGTGAAACAACTGCTGATGAATCCTGCTATGCTGTCAGCAACAGTAGAAATCAGCATGAAAAGAGTAAGCTTAAGTGCTTTCAAAGCAAGTTTATTCTGCAAGTAGCCTACTCTGTTATTCCGTGCCTCTAGACTACTCTTTCAAGCCCAGTCAGGCTTCTCACTGTTTCTTTGGTAGATGGGTTCACAACATCCACCATACCTATTCACATCTCTGCTAACCTTGAACCTATCTTTTGACTACTTTTTGCTAGCTCCACTTACGTCAGGGAGGCCTCTTGCACAACTGTGGAAGAGATTACATACTTCCTATGTGTTTTGTTATATGAGGATGCAGGGGTGGTATGCGTGTCCAAGAATGGCAGTCGTCTTTTAGCCCCTAGAAGTTGATCTTGGTGTTCACAGAATCATAGAACATCTCAAGTTGGAAGGGACTCATGAGAATGATCGAGTCTTAACTCCCTGCTCCTCACAGGATGACCTAAAGATACACCATATGATTAAGACCATCATCCACACACTGCTTGAACTCTGACAGGCTTGGTGCTGTGACCACTGCCGTGGGGAGCCTGTTCCAGTGGGCAACCACCCTCTCGGTGAAGAACCTTCTGATGCCCAATCTGAACCTCGCCTATTCAGAAAGTTCAGTGTCAAAGGAACCAGTGTTGCTTGCTTCTCCACCGTGTCAGCTGCTTATGTTTCCCATCTGATGCTGTGCTGAACTAAGCTAGAGCGTAATAATTTTAGAACAACTTTCTACCTTGAATTTAATGCTAAGCAATGGATTATCCACCAAGAAAGAGCCAGGAAAATTGTTTCAGTAATTGCGCTTTCTGAGAGTGTTTATCTTTACTGTGTGCTTCGCTTGCCTATGTTGAGCTTCCAATGGTCTGATGTTCTGTTCTACTTTCCTAAATTTGTACACTATTTTGTTTTTCTTAAAACTCAAATTTCCTAATCATTGACAAGCATCTTTTATTTCTTTCATATACTGAAAGAAACTGAAGGCTTTTAAACTCAGATATGTAGAGCCTCACTTAAACTTAATTCAAAAAGTGCTTTTTACTGAATGCTTTTCTCCAGTTTAGCAGATCCATGCAAGGCCACGTAGCAAGTAAATAGTATAGAATAATGAAAGACATCACTCATGTTTTCCCTGACACATCTCATTGGTGGAATGAAAGTAAATCCTAGCAAGCTGCTGTGGTGATAAGTGGGGAGCTGCTGTATTCCTCCTTTGGGAGAGGATCTAGATAAACATTTCTCAGGAATTACATTTTATATAGTAACATCTGTAAAATCTTTTAGCTGAATGTGCCACCAGACAGCTGTTGAGGTCTCTTAGAGGTATGAAGGTCTGGATAAACTAGCTCAAGTGAAAATCCTTCATCTAGACTGATCTTAGGGCCAAATGTGTGCAGGAAATAACTGTGAGGGTGTGCTTAGCCATTACTCAACACCTAATTCACCTGCAAGTGGTTTTGATCTTGTACATTCACGTAAACTTGCTGTGTGGAGTAACAAGAGCATTCCTGACTTGTAAAATCATGGAATCAAGAATCAAGTTTTCTTGTTTTCTCAAAGGAAGAGTTTAACACTTATGCTGGTGAATGGCTGCAGTGAGCCCTGTGACAATTTTCCACTTTTCCTGTTCAAGAAGGTTGTTGGAATCCTGCAGAGCACTTTCTTTGGGTGTTCTTTCTCCCTGTTTGAAGTTTGCTGTCCTGTGGCTTTGCAGAAGTAGGGACCATTACATCACTGTCTCTCTGTTTCCCCAGCTGCGCATATTGATCTTCAGGAAAGGAGCCAGTTCATCCCAGACAGGCTTAGATGTGGTGTGCAGGGATGCACCCTGCCTGGGGAGTCTTAGCTCTGTTTGCTGGAGGACAAGTGTCACAGAGTTTGAATTTCCTTATTCTTATGTAGTATCTTTCAGATATAGTTAATTTAGACAATACTTTCATATTTCTCATATTTTTATATACACGAAATCAGCTTTAAGAGGAAAAACTACAAAAACGCTTTTAATTCCTGCCTACAATTGCCTTCTAAATGACATAGGACTTGAACAATAAAAAGTAACTCATGTTTTATTTTCTGTTAGTAAAACAGTAACCCCTAGTTGGGAGAAGGGCAAACAGGGAACAGACGGCAACCTGCCATTTTTGAGCAAACACCAAGTGCTTTTGTTGCTGCAGTCTAGGTGAAATATTAGGAGTGGGATGTTTGAAGGGGAATATATAAACTGTTGAGCATATCTTACAAGCTCATTTCAAATAAATCAAAGGAGACAGTGGCAATTTTGAATGTTTTGCGTGCTGAAATTTAGGATTGTGCTTTTGATTTCAGTGCATGCAGCAGTAATAGCAATCAACGAAGCTATTGAGAAGGGAATAGCTGAGCAAACCATTGCAACTCTGAGGAACCCAAATGCAATGTTGGTAAACGTGGATGAAGAACTTGCACAGGACTATCAGAATGAACTTTTCGAAGCTAAAAGGAGAAAAGAATCAAATGCAAGACTTAAGGTAGTGGTATTTTGTTAGCACTCCAATATACAGGTTCCTTCATGATGCTTCTTAAGCTGTAGTATTACCATTTTAAAAATTAACTTAAATTAATGTTTATAATTAGTGCAACTAGGAAAAAAAACACTTTTAAGCTAAATGAGATAAATAATGGTAATGCAACAAGCTGGCAGGCAATTTAATAAGAATATGATTACTATAAGTATGATGTTGCTTAACTTTGACCAAATATCGGAAGACTAAAAACAAAAAAAGACTGGTTTTCCTCTATCAGCTACTTTAGAAAAAACAAATTTTTAGTTTATAAAGTTGCAAAACAAATGGTACCTTTTTTGAGCATAAAGTATAACCTCTGCCACAGATCATTAATGTGAAATTATTTGCTTTGTTTTTTACATGAAAGCTAATTCTCTCTGTAGCTGAAAAATGTTATTTTACGGCAAGCAGAAAATGCTTTAAATATTGCTCAGCGTGTTACTACAAAGTGCTCATTTCTTCAGTTCACATGGTCAACAAATATTAATGACTCCCACTAACAGCTTTTCTCTCTGCAAAGTTTGTACTAGCAACAATTTTGTTTTCTTAGAATGGCACAATCTCTGAAGAAGAGAGAGATGTCTACGAGGAGCTGCTGACACAAGCTGAGATTCAAGGCAATATCAATAAGATAAACAGTAAGCCATTCTGGATCCTTATGGAAGTGTGCACATAATATGTGATCTCCCAGATTCCAGCTGAACACAACTTGAATCCACAGGAACAAACAAAATACTTCTGTGAAAACTTACAAAATATGCGGAAGTAGCTAATGTCTGTCTAAACCAGTTTTTTCTTTCTGCTCCTTCTCTACTAATCTTTTGAGGGGGATGATGTCTGTTTATGGGTTTTGCTGTAAGGATTCCTCAGTTCAGAATCAAATCTTTTATTGCCTGCTCTGTTTCCTTATGTTTGAGTTCCTTTTGTGTGCAGAATACTGTAAATTTTGACCCCCTCTTCTATATAGAACCGAAATTCATTCGTAAGCTTCAGGTTAGCCATGGTTGAAGTGCTCCCACGCAGGCTCGCACAGAGCCAGAGACTCCCTCTGTAGGATTGGTCTTGAAATAGACAATCCTCTGCTGGATAAAGATTGCCATCCTAGCTGGCTTTTACAAAAAGTGAGATGCTGACAGCGATGGACTTCTTTTCACAAAAGCGTATTTGCTCTTTAAGCATTGTTTTCATTTCAGTTCACATAGCTTTAGTCGAAGTGAATGAGGCTATTGACCGGCAAGATGAAGTGGCACTGATTGCAGGTTTGAACCGTCCTGCTTTGAGCCTACTTGAAGTTCTGCCGCAAAATTCCTCATGGTACCTATTGCAATTGTGTGATTCTAAAGAACAGAAAATGCAGGTAATTAAATGGAACAGGTACTACGGATCAGTTCGCATTTTTGACTGATGTTAATCCACAGGGAAATTGCCTTTTCTCTGCCTTCAGCATCACTTAGGAAACAATTTTATAAAGGTTTTAAAATAATTGGTGTACTTATTGACACCAGAGTAGCTGCATGTGCTCTGAAGAGTGTGATGCCCTTATAAGTAGTTGCTAAGATATAAGGAAATTCGAGATATAGCATGCAGCCTCTAATATTATGTTTGCTTTGAAAATGAGTTATAACTTGAGTAGAACAAAAGGTAATATTGAATCATTAACAGCAAATGAAAGAGTTAATTGGGTTTTAAGGAGAAAATCCATCATTTTGATTAAGATGAAAATCACAAGGAAAAGACTAATGCTGTGTTTACTGTGACATGGTATTTGATGCACAGGGGATAGTACAGTGAAATCCTAGTGTTTCACCAAGGCATTTTGTACCTTATTTCCTATCAAACTTAAAAACATCATTAAATCCTTTTTTCTAATCTGCTAGATAGCAGGGGTTCCAAATATGCTCGACAAAAGTGAAATACAGAAAGAAGTTAGTGTTGCCAATGCGGAAGCTGAGGCTCACAAGCTTAGTGAGTAATTGTTTTAATACTCATTTTTTACCATGACTGTTTAATTATGTTAAGCTGATTAACTGAATCCACCATTATTGCATGTAAACAAGGTTTCTCTAAATGAAACCATATGCGTTGCATTTCTTTTTTGTAACTGTTCTTCTCAGTGTCACAATTGCCAAGTCACCAATCTGTGCTGCATTGGATATACTCTTATCAGAGGTAGCTAACACTTTTTTGCTTTGAATAACTTGAGTCACTGGTAAACACATTGGATAAAACTGAAGGCAATGCATGGCTTGATGGCTTGAACAAATATTTATCAGTGCAGTATTAATCCTCACTTGGGAGCAATTACCATTCTTGTAGAATTAAAATAGAATTATCACATGGAAGAATATTTTGCAATCACATCAGAGGAAAATTGTTCTCATTTTTAGACACACATGTCTAAATATAACCTATTCTTAGACTGTTACTAATGTCATAAGACACAAGTTATAGTCGGTAAAAAAAAAATATAGTTAAGGGGGATCTAAATTTGCAGTGCATGTATTGCTGCTTTTGATTGGAGACTTCTTTGCTAAGTTGTTCGTCTTTGGTTAAACTGCTGTCATTTCATGCTACATCTGGGCATGGCTTAGTGGCTCTTTTGTTTCTGGTATTATTTCCAATGCTTTGAATCCAGGCTGACTGCTTTTTTAATGTGACTTAAAGGCTGCACTGTGAGGTCAACTCAAGGCAGAAGATGTTTGACTTGCTACCGCAAATGTTACTCTCTTTCAGATTGGTTAGGCATGGTGAGCAGTACTTTCTCCAAAAGCGCTGCTCCTTGGTAAAGGAAATGAAAAGGAAAAATGTGATGTATGAAAAGCAGTAACAGCAATCTGGAGAGCAACTTCTTTCTTATGTTTGGTTTGAAAAGCTAAAAATAGTGGGGTTTTTTATTGGAATGCGGACAATGTAGTGTGTTCTGCATGCTGCATGCTTAATTCCTGCATTAGGAATCAGTAGCTTGGCTATTGACTATAGAGCTAGTCTAGTCCATTTGTGGATTCTGACTCTTCTTGGTTTTGCTCTCTTCTCTGAAAAAGCATGTACACCGTAGCTTTGAGAGCCTTTCCTTTTTCTAACCTCTGGAACAGCCAATAGAGAGACCCTTCAAGAACAACGTGGCCCCATATGACCATGTTTCAGAGCAACTGAAATGAGAGGCGAGGGGCTTATATAGGTGGTCTTGGTTACTTAGGTTTTCAAAGTCTGTGTTGTACAGTAAGATCTGAACGTTGCTGCATATATGAACCTGATAGTGTCTGCTGTACAAGCAGTCTTGTACAGACTTGAGCAGCCAGTGGTGACTAAAAACATTCCCTGGGTAATAGTATACAGAAAAGTCGTAAGATAAGGTGGAGGAGATAGGGGTTATTTTGCTGATGGAAATGACATTTACATAATTGTCATTCTTTACTCAGACACCTGTGCTCCAGCCTTCAAGGTTGTTTCCCTTTGCACAAGACTAGAGCAGTCCCTTGTGCAAGGTGTTCCTGGGTGTGTTCTGGCCTGGGTTTCTTCAAAGTTGGCTCTTCCACTGGTGCAATTATGGTGGCTGTGACTAAGCTACGGGGCGTTGTAAGGTTTCTGCAGCTGCCCAAGTGGGAGGTGATTTTCTGCATTTTCCTTCTGGTGTTCAAACCTCTGTTGAAGTCAGTTCAGCAAAAAGCAAAACAGGCGAGTTGTTCAGGTACTGAAGAGGATTATGCTCATACTCCTTTATGGTGGTCTGTTTCATTTGAAATTTGAGCGGTAGAGAAGGGATTTCTAGATGGTAGTGCTTGTGAGGACTAATCTTCCATACTGTTAGACAAACGAACAGGTGATGTCATACAGAGGAAGTCCTAGAAGCTGTAGCAGGTGGTTTTCCATCAGTTCAGCTACTGAAAATCCCAGCCTCCCAGCATATATGGCTGATTTCTACCAGGCCTCCTGAAATGGACGGTAAAAATGTCATTGGTGTTGCAGGACAGGCTTGCTCTAGCTAGCTAAGTTAGGTCCTGCCAAAAAAGAGGTGGCAAGGGAGGAAACAGGGCGCAGGAGGAAAGGAGCATTGGGGTGAAGCAAGACTGAGGCACTGAAGCTGGCATACCCAGCAGTACCTGCTGCAAGCAAACCCAGGACAGGTGTTAGGTCTTTCTCTGTGCTAGGATGGGGTCAGCTCCTTGTTTTGGGTTGAAGGTACACTAAGGAGTCTCTAATATCTAAAAGTCCAGAAACTTTAAAGTCTTCCAGGCAATTATTTGCTGCATACCTCTGAATAGACACTGGTTTTGCAGCATTCAGCAGTTGTGTTTCGAAGAATCTGACACAAATTCGTTTTTTCTCTAATGACAGCAAATTATATTCTTTGGAATAACCTCATTGTCATCTACATGGCATAAAGAGCAAATGGCAAATGAAAATTAATAGGCTTTTTTTTTTCCCCTGCTGTTCTCTAGAACATATAGCAGTTGACAATATCAATACTGCAATTCGTAACTGTGATCCTAGTAAAACACTGGTTGCATTGATGAAACCGGAGGCGCAGCTGCCTGTTGTTCACTCATTTGCTTCTGCTGTCTATCAGACTGAGCTGTTCAACCTCCAACAACAGAATGCTGTGGTAAGAGTGAAAACTTGCGACCTGCTCGCCGATGTTACGTAGTCAAACCATGAAAGAGCACAAACATAGCATGTTGTTGTGTAAAATGAGACTTAATTCTCTTGCCATGCTGTTACATATTGCACGAATGGTTTGGGTTGAATAGGCAATATTGAATCACAGAATTTGTTTCTTGACACACTTTGCTCTGAGCTCTTGTGTTGCAACAAATCCACTGACATTTTTAGTTGTTGAATGCTCTTAATGAGGACTAACTCTGTTTTGTAGGTTGTGTAGAAGAGTAATTGCCTGCTGTGAGGTTAAGACCAGAATAGATGGGGTTGTGGGGCAAAAGAAGGAAAGGCTGAAGGGAGGTGTAGGAAACTCAGTGAGCTCTATCACCAGTGTTGTGTTAATCTGGCATGCCTGTAGCTAGGGAATTTGCTAGGCTTTTTAAATCATGTCAATCTCCTTGACTGTGTCTAGACTGTGTAACTCAATTGTTACACTGCTTATTTGACTTCCTGACTGAGGTACGTTATCATTCTACAGAACTACCTGGCACATGATGAACTGTCTATTGCAGTAGAAATGTTGTCAGCTGTTGTGTTGCTAAACCAGGCCTTGGAAAATAAGGATGTCCTAATGATAAAGAATCATCTCAGAAATCCATGCATTGGCTTCAATAATCTGGAAGAGGAAAACTTTCAACGGTAAAGGTTCATTTTGTCTCATCTGGATGAGACTTGGCAACTTCTGCAAAAGGATAAGTAGGCATTTTACTAGGTGGGCTGTCCTGTGTTGTGGCTATGAATTTGAAAGAGCTGCAAGATAACCATCTGTGTTAAAGTTAATAAGGGATAATGTGACAATTGTGAAGTTGTATATCCATAAGTATGAGCAATTGCACAATCTCAGATGTTTGAGGGCAGAGAATGTGTGAGGTGCAGGGAAAATAACCTTGGAAAGCAAACATTAAGATCTGACAAGAGGTTTTGCAAGCACTAAAACATGAACCAACTGTAGCTGGAAACTGTTAAATCAGTAACGTTTCTGCAATACTGAAGGATCTTTGGAATGAGGTAGTGTTTAATGCCTTAAGGTCCAGGAGATCCCTTAAACCACTGCTGACCCCTTTTCTGCTGGAGAATTGCAAAGGTCTGAAAAACGTAGCACAGTCCTGCTTGCTAAAATGCTGAGTACAATGCGTGGCGCACATGCATGTTCAGTGTGAAACTACAGCCTTCACTCAGTGGCCAGCTGTTTGCACTGCCACATGCTTGACTTGTCACAGCCACTTGTCACAGTGTGCTGCTACTTTTGTGCTCTTCTGGGTATGTGCAAAACATATCAGGCAACACTGATTTGTGTGAGACCAGAGACCGTGGGGGCATCAGCTGGTTCTTGCCTCTCAGGCGCAGGTGGTGGGAAAACTCCATGTGCTGCTGGAAGGCATTACTAGGCAAAAAGGACAACAGTGGCTGAAGATCTTCTCCAGGCTGCCAGGGGACATGATTCTAAGAGCGGCCCTTGCTAGATGTCTCAAAGCTGGAAGGAGGGCAGTCAGGACAGGAATAAGAGGCCAGTGTTTTGGTTAGAGGAAGCAGAATGCCATAAGGTGGAGCCAAATTAATCTGCTACTTGGCCTCTGCTAATGTGAGATGGTGCTTGTGGGCAAGACAAGCAGTTTTACAAATATAGAGAAATGGGCCTCAAAGTGTCCAAGTGCTGCATTTTTGGCTGATGTTACTGTGGCCTGATATTTAGATTAAGCTGCCAGTCGGTACAAATGAAACACTAGGAATTGGTTGGGAGTAGAGGTTGAAATAAAATGTTATTATGCCATTATGTAAATCTGTGCCACCAACCAAATGTTGAATATTGCAGGAAGCTTTGATTGCGCAGTACTAGAAGGAATACAGTAGAGCTAGAAAAAGTTCAGCGAGGGTAATGGTGTTCAATGGCTTTCTATCAGAAGAGAAGAACTTGTTAGGAATATGTTTCCTAGAAGAGAGAATTTAGGGGAATATGACATAAGTCTGTAAAAGGGTACATGTTGTGGGGAATAATAAAAGTTACTAGCTTCTTTTATAACTTTAGTTTTTATTCTCTTATGAGAATTGAGTGAGAAAAGATTGAACACTATCAAATATCAAGTTTAAAAATTTAAGGAACTGCCATCTCACAAAACACTTAAAAAGTGGGACTCATTCCTCAAGAATATATAAGGCTTCAAATTGGAGGACACAAATTAATGGAGCACAGCATTCTTTGCGGCTATTAAAGTGATGCATAGCCTCCAGCTCGGGAAGCCCTTAAACAAGCTGCTGAGTGCTGGAAGGGCAAATCAGAGCAGGAAATGATTGTCTTCTGTATTTCTTCTGGCAAACATTCATTTCTCAGGCTTCTGCTGGAAGTAGAAGACAGGTATTTGATCTGACATATTGTGGAATTTGTAGGCTTGATTCAGGAATATGAAAATTATTTAACTTATGTATACAGGAGTTTAATGTGAAGGTTTCCAGCTCATCTTGATCTGTAATCCTTCTAACTAAGAGTAGACACAGGCTATAGAGCCTGTGCTTGGAGGGCCTTGAGTTATGGGGAGAAGAGAGTCACTTTTTTTTTCCCTTCCTTTGTCCATAGCCCATCATTCTCGGCATGCAGGGAGCATGGAGGTAGCAGGAGGTGCTGCTACCTGATGGTAGGGCAGAAATTCTGGTTTTTGACCTACTATACCAAGACCACCACCATAGTTTCTCCCAAATTTATTGTAGCTCCATATAGCAAAGTGTATATCCAGTGTATGTATTGCCATCATTTCACATTGCTAGGATAAGTGCTCTGAATTAGTGTACAGGGCCATTTTTTCAGATCCTGAAATGCATGTATAGAACCAGCAAGGCAGCTTGCATGTCTGTATAACTTCTGGCAAGAGACGAGTTTGTCTGAAATTCATGCACTGAAAAAAATACTAGGCACTAAATGATGGGTGATTACATCTGACTAATTCTTTATGGCAGTTTATCTTGCATATGAAATACACTTATGTATTTTATATCTTCTTATAGTTATGCTGATACACTATTGTCTATTAAGTCAGAGGCTTCATCTCAAGGCCAGGATTATTTAAGCTGGAATGATATCCAAAACTGCATTGACATGGTTAATATGCAAATTCAAGAAGAAAACGAAAGTAAGTAATTCTTCCCCTACACAGCCCGCAGAGATGACAGTCTGATCCTGGGTGCATAAATTTCTGTGCTGAATGGCCTTGTACAGACACTCTTTGAGAGAAGAGCATTAAATAATTTTGAACACCCATTCATCTTTAAATGTCCTTGAAGTATTCCTGGTTATGTTTTGGCTGGCTGAAGGATATCATCGTAGGGTGCTGCCCTTCTGCAGTGTTACAAATGCCATGGTTCTGCCCTCTTGGCAGTATCTTTCAGTATGGTTTTGCTGTGGGGATTTTGCAGAAATTGTAAGCAAAGAGCATATTGGTGGGTAGGGGAAGAAATTACAGGCAGTGATCCGTGGAAAAGAGGCTTTTAGTATGAAATTATTTCCAAGCCCTTGTTTTTCACAATGGAGTTGGTAAGAAGTTATGCAGTGCAATTATCTGTCCTCTTCTCCTTTTAGGTAACTTGATTTCCTACCTGAGAGTAGCTACTTACGCCCATTTTTTTTATTATAAATGAATTTAGTGTTTATTTTTAAGCTGAATATAACTGCATTGCCCTAAAAGGGTGATAGCATTTTTGAGTCCCAAATGACCAGCTAAAGGACTAAGTTCCTCCACTGATGGCTGTTAAATTATGCCCATTTTGCTGGAGCAAGGAAAGGAGAGGGCAGCTTTCAGACTGCTTGCCATATGGGAAGTAATGTGGAGTATACTTTGAGAGCCTTCATAAGGTGCAGGCAGCTTCCAGGGTGGCACTGACGCATGGTGCATGTGCCCTTCCCACACTGCCACCAATGTCATGCGTGCTACTCTTTCATACTGGTAAAAGAAGCTTTATATTACAGAAATACTAAAACTGTGACTGGGTTGTTGCTTCCCAAATCTAGACCCTTGCATGTTGCTCACAACATGTGCCCTCTGTCAGGGTGGGAATCTGAGCAGTTCGTTCAATCGACATAGTGACTTTTATCTGAATCTCTGCAGTCACTAGGAGTTGAAACAGGCCTTAAGAAAGGTGGTCTTACGTTAGGAGAGTCTGTAGGTACTGAAACACACTTGATTTCAGTGACGCTGACCTCTGCCCAGGGATGGTTATTTTGGGCAGAGAGGTTATTGGGGCAGAGAGGGGGAGGAAGAGGATGGCCTCTGTTTCCGTAAGAAAGCCTGCATGTCTGCATGGTCCCTCTTTGGTAGCACCACAGAAAAATTGCTCATTCCCAAAACCTTATGAGGGCATGGATCTGTGACCCCACCAGCTGGACTTTAATAGGTTTGGGAGAGGCTTTGTGAGAGACGATCCTCTGCCAGCAGGGATGGCATCCTTCACAGGTGATGGGTGGCTGGTGCCCTTCTGGGGTGGCTTTAGGGAGAAAGTACCCTGAGCAGTGCATTTCAGCACTGTTTGGGGGTAAGAGGAAATTGATTTTCAAACGTTGAGACCAGTCTGAAGAAAATGAGTTAGAGGTTTTGTTAAATACGCTTGGTCATGGTACTTGCTGACTGAAGGCCTGAGTTCCACTAATCTGAACAATCAAGTGATTTCTCAGAAGATGAACATTATCAGATTGGTTATTTAATGTGAAATTTAAAGAAATGAGGTTAAGTTGCTGTGTAATGCTGTAGCTGGGATGTCAGTATGTATGTATTTGTCCAAATCAGGGTTTCAAGTAATCTGGTCTGAAATCACTTGAAAATTAGTCTTTCAGCACTGTGAGCCAATATGTAGGTGAACACATTTAGATGTCACACACAGCCTTTCATTAAGCTTCATGTAGATACTCTTGGCCTGAAAGCAGAGAAGTCTATTTTCCTTTTTTTAGCAAGGATAGATTTGATTTTTATGAAGAGCTAGATTCAGATGAAACAGTAACTGTGGCAGAAAGGAAAACTGAACAACTTGATAGCTTCACATGAACATTTGAGCGAAAATAATTTAAAATTAGCTGCTGTTGCTGCCTCTGCTTCATGCTACTTGATTTTTCTGTTCTTCATGTTACCTCTTTGTTTGTACCTGATATTGGATAAGTTGCATCTTTCTTTGATGTCTACATCATTAATAACTTTTCCATTTTATAGGAATCATTGCAATTGGCCAAATTAATGAAGCAATTGACCAAGGAAATCCAGAGAAAACTCTAGAAACTCTACTGTTGCCCACAGCCAAACTGCAAGATGTGAGAGCAGTGAATGCAAGGCATTATCAGGATGTTCTACACCACGCCAAAGCACAGAAATGCAAGGTTAGAGTTTTGACTGTTGCTGTTTGTCAGAACTGAAATGCCGATTCTTTTCATTTACATGTGTGTCCCTGTCCTTTTCTCCCAATTTTTGGATTAGCTGTGCCAAAGGGTTGTAAATAAGCTAATGACAACAAACTGGCACTAGGTAATTTTCCACTACAGCTTATTCTGACTGGCAAAAGAGATCAATTCTCAACGCATTAATAGAAAGACATATTCTGTATGCGTGTCCGTACTGACTTGACGTAACCTTGCTAATTGTTAATTGAGCTAGGCTGCTGCAGCTATTACAAAATGTGGGCAGCAGCAGCCCTGACATAGTGGTGAATTTGTGCAAGGATCTAGTTTCTAGACTGTTGGGCAGCTAGTTACAATATGGATGGGAATTGAGGTTTTTCCTAGAAAGGATTCATAGTCATGGTGTTCATTAACAAACCTCTTGGAAGTACTTTGAGAAGTCTCAGTTGCTTAAATCTGGTGTTTTATAATAGGGGAGTTTTGCACGTATTTCTGTTCTGGCTTTATCATGCAACAATAAGCTGGCCGTCTTGTATGTGCCTTGAGTTTAAACCTATCTGAGCAGGATATTGCTATCTGATTTCCCCAAAAGCAGTGCCCTGGTTAGCATCACAGCTCAGGGAAGCATAAATAAAGATCAGCCTAACAGCTTGCAGGATATGACTGAACACAAGATTAGCTAAAGCTGCTAGCACAGAACTTAATGTCCAGTGTTTGGAAAAGACACTTAAAATTCACGTAATGCTTTCTTAAAGTAATATGGTCAGCTGGAGAAAGTCCCTGAACTTTGGCCTGTAGAATTATCTTCCAGCTACCTTGCCAACTCACCTATGGTACCTGCTGTGAAACCGTGTGTTTCTGCAATCCACTGTCAGAGCTTTCAAAAGGTATTTGCATATCTCTGTTTCTTGCTTGAGTTCCCAGGTAAGGGCTGAGCCCCGGATGCTGAAAAGCCTCCTCCCTTGCCATGTGTGATGGGGAGGGTTTAGTGCATGCTGACTACTTCACCTGTCCTGGAAGGGCCAGGTTTGTTATTTGTGTGCAGTGTCCGTGCAGGCGGTGGCCATGTAGTGCTGGCCCGGGATGTGGTAGACCCTTGTGCATTCATAGCGAGCTGGGGTGTCCTCGAGGCAGAGACCTACAGCCCACAGCCACCCATGTGCCTGCACACAGCAGCCCCTGCCCTGCTTCCCTCCTGCCAGTTGCCCCTGTTCTCCCCGGGTGCAAACCCGGTGCCTACTCCTGTCCCTGTGTGAATGCACTGACAGGAAACAAATGGGCATCTCCAAGTCTTGGAACAAAACTTGTGCAATCTCTTTGAAATCTTCCCGTTCAAAAATTTGTGATGTTCCTAGACTGCTGTTGGCCTTTCTTAATTTTGCTTTTGCTGTCCTTTGACAACTACTTAAAACGTCTCCTGTGTACCAGGAGCATTCCTGTTTAGGAAACTCCTGTTTAGGAAGCGCGCAGAACACTGTATAATATGTGCTCCCAAAAGAAATACTCAGATAATTAATCTGACTTACTGTCTATGCTGGTCAATCACACGGACATCTCTATTCTTTAGGTAAAGATATAATTTAGATTGAATTTCCCTTAAAAAAAAACAAAAAACAAAAACACACCAAAAAAACCCAAACAGAACTGGAAAGCTAGTGCAATGCCAAAAGTCTCTGCATTCCTCACTTCTTCTGAGCCCTGTTGGTAAAGAAGATCTGCCTTTAATTGTATTTAGCGTGTTTTAAGTGTGAGCTGTGGTAAAAGGAAGTATTTGATTTACAAGGATCAGATAGGTCTGCCTGTGAACTTCCTGTGTTCCCCAGCATCTGGAAAAACATATGGATCAAACCTCCTCGCTTATTCTAACCAGCCAGCTGTCATGACCCTGTAGCTGTGGTGGCTTTGGGGAAGTAGAATCTGCACAGAAATCTCCTAGTACCCGTTACAGGTCTTAATCTCAGATCACACCTACTTGTTCTTTGCTTGAAACTGAAAATGCAAACCTGTAATTTATTTATTCCTGTAATCTTAAGCCACAGGTTCTAATGGTTCTCAAAGGCCCTTTCAAACCAACTGTACTCAGGTCCCAGTGAAGAGGAACCCCTTGTTTAGGGAGTGTATTATGGATACCTGAAAAGTTACAGATGTGCCAAACTCTGAAATGGTTCCTGTGTTTGGGTTTTGTTTTTTTTTTTTTTGAGTGATAGGCACACAGGTTTTACAGTTAGGTTCACGTTTTTTGTATTTACAATAGTTGTATAATATCTGGATTATTTTAAAGTTATCTTTAAAATCTGTTCTTGTGCATGTTGAGGGAATAGCATGATTAAAACTAACTTAAATTAGGAACCAGAAGAAATTGGAGAAGTGTCACTAGGCTAAAAAATTCCATGAAGACACTTTCCAGTGCAAATGATTTTATTTAAGTAAAGTGTTTTTACAATACTATTTTAAAACTGATGTAAGACGTTTTCTGTCATCGCTGTCTTACATGCTGCAGTTACAAATACAAATGCCCAGCCGCTGACCTCATTTTGTAGGAACTTAGTATATATGTAGCTTCTGAGTTTCTCTAAGTGTAAAAGCTGATGCTTTGCTTTATTAACGTGGACAATAAATCATAACTAGCTTCAGTATTTGTAACACTGTAGGTATTTCCTGTGAGGATGTGGAAATAGAGAATACTACAAAATAGCTTCCCTGTTTTGCTTGCCAAGCAAGAATAATACATGCCTGGATTCACACTGATAAGGGTTGTCTGCCGGCAATCATCATGGGCTAGAGGAGTGCAGGTGCTGATGAAGTGGCAGAACAAGTCTCCAGTGCAAAGCTGGTTAAGCAGCCTCAGAGGAGATGCTGCCTTGGAAGTGTCAGGCTCCATGTCTATGGCTGTAGACTTACTAATCCTTGAACCTACAAGGACTCTGGCTCTTTATTTCCAACATCCAGGGCAGTATTTGCTCTTGGCCATGTGACAGGGAGCTTCTACAAATCTCAACAGCTCCCAGGCACGTAGAAAGTGCTTTTACTTGTTCCAGTTTCCACTGGACCAAGAATTTGCTTTCAGATCACTGCTCCTGTAGTGATTGTGGACTCAGAGTTAATCTGAAGTATTTGGAAATCATGAATGGGCCTAAAAGTGCTGTTCAGATATTGATTCCTCCTCTGGTGTTCAGAGGCTGTGGTGATCGATATTCTGGTTTCTTCTCTATGGCCATGAAAGTGATCTTCTCGGAAGGAAAGGGAGGTGCGGAGCCACTTCCCTGAATGTAAGTACACCAAATGTTGCAATATACATGGTAAAATTACAAAGCTGGAGAAGTTTATTTCTGAATGTATTCCTTGTGTAGAAGGAAGTAAATTTTACTCAGATTGTGGGGTTTAACACTTTTTAATTTAAGTTTGTTGCACTGAGGTTTGTTGCTGCCTGGGTTAATACTACACAAAATCATAACTCTAGTAATATAAATATAGAACTAATTTCATTTTTCCCTGGATATTTTAACCATTGTTAGATAAATATTGGATTGACTTCTAATTTTTGACATCAGAAAATAAAGGAAAGGATCCAGACAACTGTTTAAGCTGCTAAGGCATAAAGCAATTAGATAAAAAGAATACAACCCATCTGTTTTATAATAATAATAGTTGATGTGATGGATAATAAGGATAATATTGCTTGGCACAAAGCAAATAGCAAAGATGGTGAGTATCAAAAGACTGACTTTAACGTACCAGAACCATTCATGAGTCTTGAGTGTTCGTATAATTGAGACATAGCAGAAAACGATAGCTGCAAGAGGTATTAAAAACCCAAAGATAGCTAAAGAAACATAGTAGTAGAACTGGAAAGAAGATATTGTTTCACAGGCATTGTGCACATCATGGCAGGTATAAATGCCCAGCTGTTTCACATAATAGCTTTGCTGCATTATGCAAAGCGGAAGCATGTACAAGAAGACAATGGTCCACACAGTAGCGCAGACCATGATGGCATAGGCACGCTTTGGCAGGCGCTTGTAGGTGAAGGGGTGAACGATGGCCACATAGCGGCTGATGCTGATGCACGTGAGCAGCAGAATGGAGCAGTACATGTTGCCATAAAACACTGCAGTGGTAGTTCGACACATCGTTTCCCCAAAAATCCAGTTGTTCCCGTTGATGTGGTATGCTATTTTGAAGGGCAACATGATGCAGAAGAGCAGATCTGAAACTGCCAAGTTTGTGTAGAGGATGGCAGTGCACACAGACCGGATCCTGAAGACCAGCATCCACAAAATGATGGCATTAGATGGTACACCCAATAAAACAGCACTGAGGTAGATGGCGGGTATTAGCTTGGTGCTCAGAGAACTGGTCAGGTACTCCAGCGTGGTGTTATTCACTTCTGTTAAAGTGGAGTCATTTGATTTTTTTGAAGAGCATTTATGTTCTCTGATATGGATGGTCGTTGTCTCCCCTTCTATAACATAAGGGGGGATGTAATCATAGTCTCTTGCTGAAATTCCACGGAAGGTCTTGATAAGAGACACAGTTTTAATTGCAGAGCCATTCAGTGAAAATTCTGAAGCTTAAAAGAAAGTTAAAATTGTTAAAAAGGGAAAACTACTGGCTTAGCAAATATAATTCACCTTCAGGTATTGAGAAAGGTAAACACCTCCATGTGGAAAGCAATATATGTTTAAAAGATTTGGTGGCATTCTCCTTTGCTTTGAGTGTTCATATCAAATGTACACAAGGATAATTTTCACTTTATCTTGAAAATTTGTCATGAATTTAGTGCTAAGCTGATCTTTCTGCATTTTGTACCTTTTCAGTAATCTTTGGCAAAAAAATCAGATACTTGTGTAATGTTTATCACCTGTGGAGGGTTTTTCCCAGTAGTAGCAATGTTGGTAACTCATCTTACGAGCAGCAGCCTTGTTCTAGGTTTGATCAGAATTTCCAAAGCAAACAACAGTACTATCCTTGTCATTTCGTGGATGAAACGCATGGCTGCAAAAGATGCAAAAAGCGCATGTCTTGCCTTACGTAGGCTAAAACTTTCAAATTAGAAAATTTAAATAACCCTTAGTTTATTGGTCTCTCATATAAAATGAATGTTATTCTTCAGCTTCTGACTACAGCAAGCCAGATGATTTCAGCTTCTCATACGTGAGGAAGGGCCGCTAGTCTTGAGAACTGAAAACAAATGCTTGGGCTGATATTATGTCAAATTTATTGGTAAGTGAATAGAACTTTTCACGCAGCAGGAAAATTTTCAGTGAGTAAATATCATCAATAGCATGTGGGTAAAGGCAATGATGCCACTTTTATTAATGCCTGTTCCTCAGTCTTTAGTAGAGAACGTTGTAGACACATTGATGTTTCCATATGAAGCACAACCATGTTCAAAACACTTTCTAAAACGAAGCGTTTAAAAACATATTTTGCAGAATAAACAGCTGTGTAATTAATTTTGTTACTTAAACATTTTCTTAGATGTGTTTAATGACAAAACATTTGGTGTGAAGCTTAAAGCATGCATCTTGAAACTGGAATTCAGAATTAAACTGAAATTCAGATAAAAACCTGTGGGTTTTTCTTTTACCCCTCCACACTGGAATATAATATGGAAAACAGCTTTATCAGTGCTCACTGGTGGATTTATGGTAGAAGGTTTTGAAATGATAATTAGCAGACTGCATCCCTTTTAATAATTTTCTGGATGGTTAACCCAGAAAATGAATTTGTCAGTCTTTAAAAGGCATATATGTGCATGCATGTACATATATTTAGTGTGTATATATAAAATAGCTTTTAAAATTAGCTTGGTTTGAAAAAAGCTTGAATTCCAGTGAGGAAAAAACGGGCTTATTTGAAAATTTCCTTTAGTTAGTTTGGTCACAATAGTTACCTGAGCATTTCCTTCTAATAGCACCATCTGTGAAGTTGTAATTCTGTTGAACGTTTCAAAGCAGAAAGAACAAGACTCTACAGGTTTAAGATTATATCACTGCAGAAATACTAGACAGAAGATGTGTCTTCACTAAGCGCAGAAAGATTCCTTAAAAACAATTCCTTATAGAAAGTGACTAGAGGGAGGTAAGGTGTTGCTGAAATGGAAGAATAGAAATCTGCCTTAAGTGAGGCTTCCTAGAGTATAATTTTCAGTTACTATGTACATACAGCCCATTTAAGATGGCGAAGCGCCAACACTATCAAAAAGCCCGTGTTATTGACTAAAATATGGAGTAGATACAGCAAGGAGGACTCACCTGTTGTGAAAAGATTCGAGGTAAGAGAGAGCAGTCCAGTGAAAATCACTATCTTCATTGTAGCACGTGAAATCCAGCTAGCCAAACAACGATGCTGTTCTAGTTCATCTCGAGAAGCATTTTAGGGGGGATTTTTCTCCTTTCTGTAAAGGGCTAAAAAATGACTGATCTGTCCTCCAGAGGCATCCTGTAGGCATGAGGTTTATGGTAAGGAGCTAGTTTGTTCTTTGTCTACAACAGCAAGAGGGTGTGACGTACCCAGATATGCACACATGACTCAGTTTCAGCCTCTGCCCAACACAGAGATAAAATTGCTTTACAGCAGCAATTTAACTCCTAATTTACCACGAGCCTGAAGCCAGTGGGGGGCGGGGGGTGTAGTTTACTGAATTTGTATATATACATATTTGGGGTAAAAAGCTGTTTTCTGGAAAAATGAAAGGGTGTGTTTAGTAAATCCTCAAGGGTCTCGCCCACAGACTGAAATGTCATCTTACTGATCTCTGTACCCTTCTCGAGGAAGAAGGCAGGCTTGGAGAAGTGTGGTGATCTCGGTTTAGTAAATGTAAAGGTGAAAGCAAGTCGCATATACAAACATGCCTTACAAAAACTGTGCTCTGCTTTGCCTTCTACCTCCCTGCCCACTGTTAGCTGTCTGTGCTCCTTCGATACAGCTGTCACACAGTTCCCCCCCCTCCACAGCCTGCAGCCTCTAAAACCTTTCCCTTGTTTTCATCTGCTGTCCTGCTGCAGCAGACAAAATTAGACCAAGTTTCGGTCTGGCTTCCAAGCTAACGTTGAGGCTCAGCATGAGCTGTACTTGGCTCCAAAGCAGTAATTGTGTCTGTTTTTGTATTTAGTGTGTAAAAGCTGGACACCAGATAAGGAATTCTCTTCAGTTTCTCAATCCTTTTCTCAAAATTATTAGCTGTAGTTTGGGAATTCAATATACACTCCCTCTCTAAGTTTCCTGTTAGAAAAACTTGTGGTGTGTGTTCACTGCCATGCGATTGCCTGACACTATTTGATTTTCTTTAGATTTTCTGCTATCTTGTTTACATATGTGATGTAAACGGAAGAGTCTGTCTTTAGGGTTTCTTACCCTGTTTTATCTTTGTAATTTCTATGGATAACAGATTTATTGGATTTTTGGCCTGGAGTTGGGTGCAAAAAACCAGGGATGTTCATTGTGAAGCTGGTTCTTTGTCCACACAATTTTAGCTTGAGAGACTTTCTGTTTGTTTTTTTCCTGAAATATTTGTGTGTATACACTCCTAGATCTCTATCGAATTAGTACATTCCAGTTTCTCTCATCATTAGTGTATTTTAGACCTGGCACTCCTACTTCCTCTTTGGAATGTATTTTGTTCCCCCGTCTACTTGATTAGATTTCAAATGTCACTTTAGCTCCGAAACCCTGTTTTCTTAGCTGAAATTTTGGTTCATCTATGAACCTGGCAGCTGGAGCATGGTTGGTTAGTGGGGACACTGAGCCCACTTTGCTACACCTTCTATTTTAACTTGGGTCTATTGCCATGCACTGTTAAGACAGTGGGAAGAGTGAGACCTGCTCTGCTGCTTAATTCCTGAAACGTTCACCACCTGAGCTAAGTCATCATTACTAAACCTGAGCTGTCTTTCTATGTCAGTTTTCGCTGTTATTTTCTAATGTGATATGTACTTAGGCATACACAAGAATCTCTTCCATATAAGGGATTCTGAAAGAAAGCCGGCTTCCTGCAGTTTTCTCTTTCGTGCTCTTTCTGCTACTGTCACAGTGCTGCCTGATAATGTGATGTTTTATCTGACACTCAGATTACTTTGCCTTCATATCGTGGAAATGAAAACGTTTCTAGCTTCACTCAAAATTTTTATTGATCTTTAGCAGGATGGTGTCTTGTATACATGAAAGCGTCCAGCGTTTTGTATTTGAACAGGAGTTTATTCAAGTCACTAAATAGAATATGAATATGTTTTACTGCTGATTTTAAGCAGTCAAATTCTTTTTAATGTCCAAGGGCTTCACAAGAGAAGAAAGTATATTGGAGTTCTATCACTATGTTCAGACAACTTTTGTTATAATTCAGCTTTTTCAAGGCTTTTCTCTATCCTTTTCCAGGAATCCCGAGATGAATCAGCGCTTCTGTGGCTGGATGAAATACAAAAAGGAATCAGTGATGCCAATAACAATATAAAAGAAGCAGCAATCTGTAAGCATTAATCTGCATCTGCATTGCTCTTGTTTTTCTCAGTCTTGAAAAACTGAAATGGATAATTTTTTTTCCCACTTCAGGGATGTGTAGCAGCCCTCTAAATACATCAAAAGAAATGAATGCATGTTCTATGTCATACTGATATTAGGGCAACTTAGGTCTCCAGGGGTGGTGTTGGTTTTATCTAAAGTGGTAATCCTTAAGGCTTGGCTAATAATTTAGTGGATGTTGTTATATAGGTTAACATCATGAACAAGATTTCTAGTGTCAGGGTATCTTCACATAGCTGGTCAAACAGAAGGATATGTGAATGAGAAGGGATATACTGTTCACAAGCTTATTTTGTTTATGTAAGACTAACCTCCTGATGCATGTTGTAAGAGCAAATTCTTTAATGTTTACAACTTTACTTGTTCCTATTTCATTATAATGCCTTTTATTAAGTGCTAAAAAACAAAAAAATTTGGACCATAATAACTTTAAAAGTAGTGCAAAGAGAGCACTCGGTCATTTCAAAGAAGTGCATGCTCTTCTAATCTGTAAAGAGGAGGGAATCTGTAGTAAAAATGCTGAAGCTTATCCTGTCAGAGCATTGTGTACTGGATGCACTTAACACCTTCTGTTAAACTTTGGACTGAATATAATAATTTTATAAAAAAATTCATAATCCATAACAAATTTTGGCAAGTAATACAGAAGCAAGTGTAGTTGGGTGTTTGGGGCACATTAGAGAGTATGATGGCATCCCTACCTGTTCCTGCCTGGGGCCAGCAGGAACGAGACAAGGCTGTTAACTTGTCATTAGGTGTTGGTTCACTGTCTGCTTGAATTGGCTTTGCATGAGTCAGGTGTTCAGCCTGCGTTAGTGCAGTGTGGCAGTCAGTTTACTTACAGACAGGCTATGTCAGTAGGTAGTGCTTGGGAAGTTGTGGGTGGAAGAAAACAAATGCAGCTAGCTTTTACAAAATCTTCTATTCCTGCTACAGAAACATTGCGTTTACCATTACTGTTACTTTTGAACTGATTTAGTCAATAGAGTCTTCGTGTAACCAGCCAGATACACTGAAGACACTTGAAGTATTTTTGTAGGTCACACACCTGCAGTGAAAAGCACCTGGCTTGTTTTTTCTGAGACAGGGTCAGATGCATGTACGTTGTCCCAACCAATCTCTTTTATGAAGAGTGCTGATACCTTCATTTGTGCACAAAAATGGCTTCCCATCAATGTCACTCAGAGGCATGAGGAAACATCTGATTGTAGAGTAGGGAAGGAAATGCATAGCTTATAAACAGATGTAAGTTAAAGCTAAAGAGCAACTTGAAAACATCCTCGTTTGTGTCCACTGGTGTAAAAGCATGAAGAATACATCTTGTAAACAGCCTGCAGAAATTAGTACAGCATTATCTGTATGCCAACACCATACAATGTTATTAATGATAGGCCACTGCTCTATCCACTAGCTAGTTGTTGTAGTAAAATCTTTTCATATAATCTGTGTTTGTAGTAAATACACAGCTTTTCACAATCAAGTATAATCTGCAGAAGTGTTTGGACAAATCACTTGTGGAAATAACTATTAATCTCCTGTTCTCTGCCCTCTGGGTTGAAAGAAAGCAGTGTCAGCACAGCACATTCTTCAGAAGAGCTCTAAGTTTTTGCAGCTAAAAACTAAGATTTAAAATTCCGCCGCGGCACAGAACCCGATACTTCCTATAACAAACACTTCCTGTCTCAGGAAGTTAGCATGTTGTGTTCACATAGGTCTAAACTTAAAGTTCAGCTTGATCACAACTGGAAATGAACTCTTATTTTGATCTGAGACTCTATTTTTGAAACACAAACAACTCCCCATGTCCCACTCCAAAAACTTTGCAAGCCAGTCAAAGGTTTATTTTTCAGTCAGAACAAAGGGTATTTTTGAAATTGCTGCAATAAAGGCAATAAGTGGTAAAATAAGAGAAGGTACTGATAGCTGTAGTGAAACAGTTTTGACCCCTTCCAAACTGATTTTTATACCTTATATAAATATTAAATACTACAGTATTAAAATTTTTAAAGGCTTCTACAAACTGTCTTCCCTCTCAGTAAAGGACTCTATCTTGTATCTTCATTGAGGAAGTTGTGTTCAGTAAATGCTGGTGTGCTTCCTAGCTCTTTGTGGTGTTTGCTGTGCAGTTTGCACTGCCTTGCTTCAATTCTTGATTCACTTCAGCCATTGTACTCCTTATCTAAGTGGAGGACAAAGTGAGATTGGCCAAATATCGGCTGTGTAGCCTTCAGGAATGGACGCCAATACTAAGCTTAGTCTTGCACAGGAAGCAGCCATCTGTCAAAGCAGGATCTGTCATGAGACAGTCCATATTATACGAAAAAGCTGATCTTTGGCCCTGTGGTGAGTTCAGGCTTATCACACCACGCAGCTGCATCTTTGTGTATCATAGCTGTTTGAAGGGAGCATGGGTGCAGAAAAGAGCCCTTCAGTGTTGATCTGGTACTGGCATCCCAACGGCTGCAGAAGCGGACTGGAGCTCACAGTTCTCCTGCAGCTGGGGATATCTAAGCTCTGTTTAGCTTACAATTTTACAGAGTTCACATGGGTCTTATTTAGAGCAACAGCTGCAGTATTAATTGCTAGCACTTCAATGGAAAGGAATAATTTCTGTAGAATTGGCTTTTTTCCACTACTAAACATTTGTCTTACATTTTCCTCCAAAAATAGAGGCAGAATTAATTAAAAGATGAGAAAAAGCCAGGAAGCAGAGGACCTACATAAAAAACTTTTAGCTAGGTTGTGTGCTCTTTTGTCTTTATAATAATATTTTCCAGCATCAGTAACTATAGGATGAAAAGGAGGAAGACAAGCGTGCAAATACTGGTGACCAGAGTTCACAAGGCACGAGAGACTGTGTATGAGTAGGGCTGAGCCCCCAGAGCCACCTGGGCCAGCAGCAGCAAGCTGGTAATGTGTGTGACTTCTCAGTTTCCTGCTTCCTCACTGCTGAAGCCGGATGCCTGGGCATTGTGATACCACAGTTGTGGTACAAAGTCATCTCCAGTCTCGTGGGGCGCACGTGCGTGCTTGGCAAAGTGCAGAAAAATAGCAGGATGCTATCTGGTAAAAATCCAGATGGTGGTGGTGTGGTGTTGTGTATTCACTTTGTTTCTTAGCTGGCTGCCAGTGTGTTTAGAGATTGATGTGTTGCTGTCTAGCCAAAGCTACCTATTCCACCTTAGTCAAACTAACCACAAAGAAAAACTGTTTCTCTTGCTGAAATGCTCTTCTGCTAGCTCAGTCTCATGCAGTGCCTCCTGATACTGAGCACCTTTTGGGTCAGCTCTGTGCTGAGACCACTTACTGTGGGGAGGGACCGCTTTTGTATTCGTCTGTATACACACAAAGTAAGGAAAAGTGTTAGGTGGTGTTGCATGAAGCGCAGCTGTGGGATGCAGAGGTATCCAGGTTCACTTAAGACAATGTGAAATGTATATGCTCTAGCCATATGTCTATTCACTTGTTTCTCTGTGCATGGATCTTGAATTTAGATGTGAAAGAACACCATTAAAGACCAGAGCAGCAGTTCCTAAAGCAGCATACTCCTCTAGTGTAAAAGGCACTGTGAAGTGGCGTGTGCTGCTACGTGCTGTCAGGTGTGGTGGTATCAGCTCCTTCGGTGATGGTGGGACCTGCACAAAGCAAAGGACACTTAGGAGGTCCTGAATCAAAGTATGGGTAACGTTGTATGACTCAGTTTGAACATGCTTCGCAGCATCACTTCTCAGGGAACTTTTAGGTGATTTGGAAGCAAAAGCTGCATCTCTGTCAAACTCAAGGACGTGAATGTGCTGCATCAGCTTTAAACAATCTCCCAGCGGGTGAGGACAACAGAGGGTCACTTCAGGATTCTGACTAGTGTTGCAAGACTTTGCTCAAGGCATTATTCCCATTTTGTGCAGTAGAAGTGAATGTTAAGGTTTATAGCTTATAACCTAATGATTTCATGCATCTCTAGAAGGCTTCCAAGTGATCAGCAGATGATGGGCTGTCTGTTAAGGCAGGCTGAGTGGGGAGGGTACCTGCCACACTCAACCCCTGTGCTGGTGTGTCACTTACGGTATGATGAGCTATGCTCTCAGACCACTCTGTTGTGCTCTGGCTGCATCCCAGCCTGGGCAGAGTGCACGCTTTCTATCTAACAAGCTTGCTGTTCTCTGAAATACTTGTCCTTACAAGCATGAAGGAGGATGCAAATGGGTGAAGCACTGAATTGCCCTGTATGTTGTGCTGTCTGTGTGTGCCAGCCTTAGAAGTCCATTATCAAAGTTGCTGGAGGCTAGAGTTGTGGGTATATAGAACATAAACTACTTTATTTTCTATGCCATTATTTTACCCTAGTGGCTGTTGGAACATCAGTGATTAACAAGAGCTTGGAGAAGGGTGATTCACAGTCAATCCTGATGATACTGCAGTCCAAGTTTGGTTTACGCGTAACTCCTGAGTGTGCTGAAACCTACTTCAGGAACCTCTCCGAAGCCAAGAAACTGAAAACTAGAGAAGGTAAAAGTCTTCCAAAATAGGACAGTTCCATGTGTTAATACCACTGAGGCAACTAGAAAACTAGCATAGAAAGTTTACCTAAAATCATTGCAAACTGAGGAAGATAGTTGCTGGTTTTAAATCTTTTGAGAAATGTTAAATTAGCCCAAGTGCATTTTACGTGATGCTGAACTGTTGCACACATTATCCAGACCACAGTACATGCTGAGAAATGAATCTAGCTATTTCCAGAGTCCAGCCAAGACTTTCTATCATCTCAAACTAGCCTCTGGGTGAATTTAGGGCAGCTTCTCTGTGATTGTCAATAGACTAGTCCATCCTCTCAGAAGATCATATTACTCCTTGATATTTTTTTTTTTTTTTCCCTCTGTTAGCAGATGTTAGCAGGGTTAGGCTGCACACTTCAGCCCTGTGGGTTACTGCCAAAGATCATGCCAGGCTCTGCCAGAGTGTCCATGGCCCATTTATAGTCCCTGCGCGTTGCCAGAGCAGCAGGTATCAACAAAAGCTGGGGCTAGAATCCGCCCATAGCAAGATGATGGGATGTTCTGTCATGTTAGAGCTGCAAGCCGGTCATAGCTAACGCAGCCAAGATTACCTAACAGTTTAAAAAAAGTTACCATTAATGTAGTGCACTTTCTTAAAGGAGATGGGCAAGTTTCATCCTGCAACACTAGTTTGGAGGGGGCATTTTGCACAACTGACCTTATCAGCTTTACCTTGGGGACATTCATCCACGAGGAAATGAGGCTTTTCCTGCTTGTCAGGATACAGCCTTGTTTACCAAAGCACTAAACAAGACAGTGATGTGGATATAGGAAATGTTCAGTGTGAGCTAAGTGTCAATAAGTCCAGCATTTGGCCAGAAGACAAGAACATTTTTTATAACACTAGTCTCACTTCCACTTACGTGAATGATGATGGAAGATGTAGCACGTGATGTTTCAGGAGCAAGCACTAACTTGGCACGTTGGGGTTTGGAGAAACTGGCAGTGGATCTGTACCAGCCTCATAGCTGCTTCATTCTAGAAGAGTGATTCTGATCCACCTAACAGGATATTTTGCAAACATCCATATTACAAACTGGCCCAAGATATGTGGTGGCTTTGCATGTAAAATGGCTTCGGAATAAATGCAGAGATGAGAAACGGGTAGAGAGCGCTGTAATTTATCAGCATAACAGGGCACAAGTTTGTGCTAACAGTATGTATTACTTTTAGATTCTAATGAAAGTCCATGGATTAAAGTGATAATGAAAAACATGTATGATTACTATTACAATGTGGAAACTGAGGAAGGTACCTGTGTTGCCCCTGAAGGAGTTGTACCAAAAAATTCATGGTTAACTGGTGAAGAAATACAGGTAAGTGACCAAAACATTTGCTTTTATTGCAAATGCAAAGTAAACATTTGAGAGAGATAGCAAGACATGGCAATATCAAGGGAAAAGGCTGTGCTGGGTGAGACTGAAGATAACTTTAGCTCAGTATCTGCTTCTGACAATAGCAGCAACTTAAGTTTAAGCAGACAGTGATAGCACAGCCTCCTGTCTGATGTCTGACAATGGTTCAGGGACTTCCTAACTGGAAGTTACAGCATTCCTTTTAATGGCCACCAGCAGACACTGATGGAGGAAAGTTTGATTGCTTTCATATCCTTTCATATTTTTTAGACTTCGCATTAGCCTGTGACCAGGAATTTCATGCCATATTTGAGGGCAGGTGAAAGCACCGTTTTATGTTTAAATCTAATCATCTGACAGCACTCTTGTATCTCCAAGTTCAATAGGATGAATGTGATACCTAAACTCCCTTACTGTAGAGGCTTTGTGTTAACATGAAATATAACTTCGAACAAAGTAGATCACACAAGTTTCTGTGCAATTTGTTTTTTTTATTCTGATGCAGCCCACCAAAATGACAGGTTTATTCTGCTGCACAAACAGCTCAAGTCACAGTGTAGGTCTTTCTGAAATTCTGGCTGCAGCAATACTTGAGTGTGCTTCTCTATAGAGAGCCCCCTGATTCAGTCAGTATTTCTAGATGTTGGACTTCTATGAAAATCTTCTAAGTATTAGGAAAGCAGAACTCTCCTGAAGTATAAAAAAAACTGTCTCAAAATAGCATATCCAGCTGAATAACTGAGGCTTGAAAAGAGTCTAGTTACCCTTCACATAAATTTCAGTGGTGGCAAAGTAACTTGTCCTTGATACTGATTAAAATCTAGGGATAAATCAGAGAGGCTTGTATGGGAAGAACATAAGATGTACAGATGATGGAAAGAATACAGACCAAATTACAGGATGGTTTTGGCTTGGGGTTTTTTGCTTTTAAATGACCTTTTTCCATGATGTCTTAACAGAGCATTGTTGGGCAAGTTATGGCAGATTACAATCGAAAGCAGCTGTGGCTTGCTAATGAAAATCTGATTGTTCAGCTGCAAGCCCGAGCAAGGGGATTCTTAGTCAGAAAAAATTATCGGGAGAGAAAAGCGTACCTTCAAAACCAGGAACCATCTGCCATCAAAATACAGGTATTGTTCTAGAACAAGAAGGTAACATGGCTTGGGTAACTTTTTGCGTGTGACCAGTGATGTGGCCAATTACCATCACTGATAAAATTCTCAAATAGGTCTGTCTGCCTGTTTTCATTTAGCAGCAGTTCAAAGCATGACTTAAGAAATACGCTCCTTTCTAGACTACCCCCTCTTGGAAGTGGTTTGCCTCTGCTCCATCAAGTCATAGCTGGGGTAGGGAGTGGCAGCTTTCCCAGTGTTCTCAAGCTCTGGCAGTATTTCTTGTATGTCTTCAGTTTGCTGAACTTCAAAGGAGTATAAAGAAAACTTTCTGCTGAGGGTGTGAACACTGACAAATGCATGCACATTGGCTTAAAATGGTGAAATAGCCATCTCCTGTTAGAATCAATTTATTCCAGTCTTTGGAAAAAAAAAGTGACACCCCCCCCCCAAAAAAAATACAGAAAAACGTACAACTGATTTTTTTAATCTATAGTAGCTCAATTTAACAATTCATGATGATAAATACCATTACCGCTAGCAGCTGTCATTGGGATTGACTTTTCATTTTCTGGCATGGTGTCTGAGCCCAGTAAATGACTGTACTGTTCTTTGAGGAATTCAGGGTCTGTGAACGGATTCAAACATATGGAGAAATACAGGTAAACAATGTTGCGCTCTGATTGTTTTTTATGGGCATTAAAATAGAAATAACTTGTGAAAAGACAGCAAGTAGAGTACAAGATTGGTGCCTCTGTCTGGATAGGGATGAAAGGTAAAATATGGTAAAGGCTGTAAGAGTGTCTGTATTATCCCTGTCGTTGTGTTTCTGGCCAAGAGTTTGCTTCTGAACTAGCAAAGGGAGAGCCACGTGAGGGAACTGGGAGGTGGTTATCTGTGGTACAAGATGATCCTGAGTGACTGTGGAAGACCAGAGACTTGGGTAGGAGTCCAGGCCAAGAACAATGGGGGCCAGCTAGGTAGGGGACAGCTTTTGGATGTAATGGGCAAGAGCTAGCAGAATCTGTGTGGAATGAAGCAAGTGACTGAGGTGCTAAAGGATGTGGGTGTACTGGTGATAAAAGTAAGGATGTCTTCAGGGGAGGGAAATAAATAGCATGGGAAAACAAAGTGTTTGTGCTGAGATTGGCCAAAATTAACATGCAAAGTATTCAGGCACCTTAAAAGTATAGAGGAAAGCTTGCTTACACTGTAGTTACCTTTTTACCACAATGGCAGTTTTTCTTTACAAGATATAGACACAGTTAATGATTTTAGTGTATATATGTGGATTTTAATAAATATTAGTTCCAGATTAGTAACAATGGTCTCCTGTCTTTTATAAAATAGGCTTTCTGGAAAGGAGTCAAACAAAGGAAAAGATATGTTGACAGATTAAAGGTGCTTCAAGGCAACGTTGCTGCTATAGTTAAGGTAAGATCCCACTCTGTTTTGGGCATTGAGCGTGCTTTATTCTTTGGCTTGGTCCTCCACCATTTGGGAATCAGAGACTGGGAACACAAACTGGAGGGACTTGTGCTCTAGAAATTCGCACGGTGTTGAAAGTCATTTAATTGACACCTTAAATAAAACTGCTTCTTGAAAGCTCTGTGTTTGACTTCTATCAGGCTTTGCTGAACTTGAGTGGCTCATAATAGAGATTTCCTTACACTTCCCTTTTGATAACACGAAATTAGAAAATATTTGAGCTGACTGTGTGTTATCACTTCATTAAAAGCTGTCAAGTCTATCTGTCTGAAAAGTGTTCACTTTTCTGAGATGCTAATAGTGTACTATGTCATGAGTAGATTGTAGATTGCAGATGGGATATTGATCTCCCGTCTCTGCAGGAGTCTGGTTTACAACTGAGAGCTGAAACTTGAAGGTAGAAATTACTTCCAAAGATAATGCTACACGTGGATGTTAAGAGCCTTGAACTCAACTTGCTATTTCAGTCGAAGCCCATTAATCTGGTCACTGGACTGTAGGAGCCCAGTGGTAGTGTCCTCTCTAGCCCTGAGCATGTGAGAACAACATGTCTGCAGAACAGAACTGTCAGAAGTGAGCTTAAGGCACACACACACAAAACATTTTGCGCAGCGTCTGTTAAGTTTTTATTTAATTTTGTTTAATTTTCAGATTCAGTCATGGGTCAAAATGTGGCTAGCAAAGAGAGCTTACAGGAAACGGCTGCAATACTTCAAGGATCATGTAAGTCTTTTTTCTCTGTTTTGAACATGAAGTGTTAAAATAGGGTATATGACTGCATGGGCAGTTTTGGGAATCTCAGGAAAGGGTGCAGGTTCTGCACTGTGTTTCTGAGTAGAAATGTGTCATAACTAGGTTCTTTTGCCTAATCTTGGTCCCTTCCAGAATGATGAAATTGTGAAGATACAAGCATTTCTCAGAGCAAACAAAGCCAGGGAGGACTACAGAACACTAAGTAAGTGGTAACAGTTTGAATGTTGTGTGTATTTGGGAAGAAGTATATTACTGTGTTCCATTGTTGTTTTTTTTTTTTTTAAAACTTTCACCTGGGATTTCTCAGTCTCCTATTCCCCTTCAAAATCAAGTGCAGGTGTTTGTAAAACAATTGTTTTACAGATGAAACTATTTTGGATAGCTGTACTTGCACAGTATGACGAAGATATTTCTCTGTCTGGCATAAACTTCTCTCTGCAGTTCCAAAATTTTCTGCACAGTGCTCAGTTTCCTGGGCGTTTTAGGGGTGTTCAGTGTTATGTCAACTAACAAGCCTATTTACTTCAACTGTAGTTGGTGCTGAAAATCCACCCTTGACTGTCCTGCGCAAATTTGCCTACCTCTTGGACCAAAGTGACTTAGACTTCCAAGAAGAACTAGAAGTAACACGGTTAAGGGAAGAAGTGGTTACAAAAATTCGATCCAATCAACAGCTGGAGAAGGACTTGAACTTAATGGATATAAAGATTGGACTGCTGGTGAAAAACAGAATCACTCTCCAGGTCAGCAGGCTCTGTTCGGGCTCCCTTGGTAGCATGCACTGAGCACTTCCATGTGTTGCAGGAGCTCAGGATTACACAGTCACAGCATGGCTGAGGCTGGAAAGGATCTCTGGAGGTCACCTGCTCCAACCCCTCTGATCGACCAGTTTGCCCAGGACCGTGTCCAGGCAGCTTCTGAATATCTCCAAGGATGGAGACTACACAACCTCCCTGAGCAACCTGTGCCAGTGCTTGGCCTCAGTTAGATAAATACCCCTGTCCTGAGTAATCTTGTCAAAATACCTTGTGGTAGAGGTGGTTCTGTTGTCCTGAGTGGTATGTCAGTTAGCTACTGAATGTCACTCTTTGTTTTGCTACTTGTGGACAATAGTAATTGCTTGGCAGATTTTAAGCATCTTTTCTGTGGCAGAATGGAGTAGACTTCTGATGATATTTAAGAGCTCGTTCATTGTTAACTAAATAATGAACGAGTCTGTAGAAGAGATCAGGTTGCCCAGACAGCCATTCTGGTGACAAGATAAAGATGTTCAAAATACTGGTTAGTAAATAGAGCTGCAAAATATAAAAAGTTGCTAAAAGCCCTTGAAGGAATATCGCATTTAACATAGTTATGGAAATGTTGATTTTTCCAGTTTGCCTTTTTTGTGAATATATAATCTAGACTTCTGATCACCCGTCTGCAGGATGTGGTACTGCACAGTAAGAAACTTAACAAAAAGAGCAAAAGTCAGCTGGAAGAGATGGTTATGGTTGACAAACAGGGTATCAAAGGCTTGAGTAAAGAGAGAAGAAAGAAACTGGAGGCTTATCAACATTTATTCTACCTTTTACAGGTAAATCTTAATGTAAAAATTAACATAGCAACATATTGCGAAGGAAAAATTAGAAATACTTCGCTTGTTTTGGTAAAATGTAGTAGTGATTGCAAAAAGATTTCCAAAGTAGTGTGCAGACTGCAGCAAATACTATCATCACCTTCTAATATTTCCTGTAGTTGAGAAAATCCTTGCTGTAAATCGTGCAAGAAATATAGCTGATTTTTTCTTAAAAGTAACTTCAGTCCATACTGAAGCCAAAAAGAAATGTTTTCCTCCATATGTCTTTTAGTCCCTGTAAATTACTGTCACTATTGCTGTGCTTTAGATGTTGTGGAAAGGAAGTTGTCTGCTATGCAGCTGACAGTGTACAATGCATCTGTTCTTGTGCTCTTTTTATCTCATCATCTCATTGAAGTTTTTCTGGAAGAGTTTTAGACCTTCCAAGGGCAGATGCCTTCTAGTACTTAAGTGAAGATGTAGTATGCAATGTCTTCTTGGTACATAGCCATTGTCGTTTAGTAAATTGTCATTGTCATCAGATTCACAGACCCAACAGACAGAGGTACTGTTCTGAGACTACAAATAAAATCCTTACTGGTGCTACTCACAGATATCTAATTGTGCAGTAATTCAGTGTTTCTTATCCATTAGGATTTGGAAACAAGTAAAGCCAGTGTGGAAAAGTGACATATATGGGAATCAACATAAATGCTCTTGGTGTTAATAGAAATGTAGAGAGCGCTGCCCCCCACGTGAGGGTAGCTTGTCCTGGACAATAGCATTCAAGTCATTTGTTTGTTTTGTAGACTAATCCCACGTATCTGGCAAAGCTGATTTTCCAGATGCCACAAAATAAATCAACAAAGTTTATGGATACAGTCATCTTCACTCTATACAACTATGCCTCAAATCAACGAGAAGAATATCTGCTTCTCAAACTCTTCAAAACTGCTCTAGAAGAGGAGATAAAGTATGTGCACTCAACAAGAAAACTTCAGTTAATTTGTGTTGCAGACAGTTCAATGAATACTTCATACCTAAAAGAATTTGATGTCTAAATTGCTGTAAAATTTCATACAAATTTTTGTTATTAGAGAAATTAGCTTTTAGAGTAACTTACTCATTAATTCAAGCTATTTCCAATCAGGAAAAAATCCTTCTATGGTGGATAATATTCTTGTATGGAGAAATTGCTTGAAAAAAATACACTAGTGTTTCTTGCTTTTGTGCTTGAGTATTTAAGGGTGGAGAAAGTCTTTTTTTTTCTCAGTGGAAATGTAAGTACTGTAAGTGGAGAGTGGTGGCTTATCCTGAAACAATAAAATCTTATTTTATGCTCTTAACAGATATTTGCTGAACAGGCATTTGGGCCTGAATCAGGTATATATTAGCTGCCACTAACTATGCTATGTTCCAGGGAGGTTGTTATAACACATGCAGAATTCAGGTAGCAGTTTCTATATCTTGTTTAATATAAAAGCCTAAGAAAGCGACTGCATAAACATGATTCTACATAGAAATAGGATAATTTTTAAAGTGTGGGTTTTGAAAACATGGATAACTGCATACATAAGTTAGATCTGAGTAGTCTTCTGTTCTTGATACAGCTCTAAGGTAGACCAGATACAGGATATTGTTACTGGAAACCCCACCGTCATTAAGATGGTTGTCAGCTTCAATCGAGGTGCTCGTGGACAGAACACACTGCGCCAGCTCCTGGCCCCGGTGGTGAAGGAGATCATGGAGGACAAGTCCCTCATAATCAACACTAGTCCTGTGGATGTGTACAAGTCATGGGTAAACCAGCTGGAAATGCAGACCGGTGAGGCCAGGTGAGTGAGGAAGCTGGACATATTGTACCATTTAAGTACCTGAGAGATCCCTCAGTTCTGGTCTCCCTTCCCTTCTCTGACAAATTGTGCTTGTGCCCATGCATCTCTCTCCCATCTTTTTGCAGTGCAATTATAGTTTTTAGGGAGAGGTGCTTGAAAAACAGGTGCTTTAACCTGTTCTGAACAAAAAATGGATCACTTTCCTTGTCATGAACTTCAAAAGTCAATTACTTACTCTTTACAAGTGTAGTAACTATGCCATGGAAGAATTTATAGCCATTTTCCTGGGTTTTGTAACAGCCTGTTAGTAGTGTCCCAGGCTTTTGAGGAGCTATTCTGGGACTGGGATGTGGAGATGCATGCCTTAAATTAGGATTCCCTTTTTGTAATTAAGGGGAGGTACATGATGGCATGTGTACACCCACTTAAACTACCCTCTACAAAAAAAGGAAGATAATGCATCTGAGACTTTCGTTACTTAGCCAACTTCAACTGTATTTGTCTGCTGTTTCTCTGTTCACTGATGGCCCTTATGAAGCAAAAAACCAGGTACTTTATTCTCAAATACATTTAGCTTGGTTTAATCTCTGTTTGATTTGCAGCAAATTGCCATACGATGTAACCACAGAACAAGCATTAACACACACAGAAGTGATCAGTAAACTGGAATCATCGATTCAGAGTTTGCGAGCCGTAACTGACAAAGTTCTCACATCCATATTCTCTTCTCTCAATATGATGCCGTAAGTGCTGAGTTAGGACTCTCCAAGCTGCAGTTCAAGTGCACAGTGAAGCTTCACTTGAAACCCAGCAATGGAGAGCCTTTCAAATTACCTGGCTTGTGATACGTACCTCTCGAATTGCTTCACCAGTAGAGGGAGTGGTTTCGCCACTCGTCCTACGCTGCTTTGGCAACCTTGTGAACGTCTCCCTGTACCTGAAACTTACTGTATTTCCCATTATCATCTAGTTTTGTGTTCTAAGTGACTTGACTGAATAGAATGACTGTCTTGTATTTCATCTAAGTCTTTCCGATACTTTTCTTCTATTCTACATGTAGTTATGGAATGAGATATATAGCCAAAGTTCTGAAGAGCTCGCTCCATGAGAAATTCCCAGATGCAACAGAAGATGAACTACTAAAGGTAAACTTCTGAGTGCAAACTGCCAACTGCTTGTTCTTTTAATGCCAAAAGGGATTTTTGTTGACAGTAAGCATTATAGTGAACTGAGAACACTAGCCTTTACTGAAGGAATTTGGCTCTTCTTGGGTTGCAAAGCGGTGGTGGAAGGGGAGGAGAAGGGAATCCTGTCGCCACAACCTAGCTTTCTTAATCTGGGTGCTCAGCAATTCTTATGGAAGGCAGTGCTCAACCTGTTGTGGATAGTAACTGTTGTTACAGGGTTGGAGTTTATCCGAATCATCTTGGGTTTTGACTTTGTACTATGGTCTTTACCACCAGCAGTTCTTTCATGGAGAATACTGTGGTCTTCATTTCCCCTCCCCCCCCCAACTGAAGTTGTTCACATATTAAAACATAAAGTATTTTTTTAAATTGCATTAATATTGTAATTTAAAAACAATGAGAAAGGGCTCTAAAAATTATTTGCCAGTGGATCACTAGATTACACTTATTTAAGATGCTTGTAAATGTTGTAGGAATAACATTTGTACAGACTGAAGAGTAAAGAGTGATAAGTATGGTACCAGCACACTGGCCATTGCTAACCAACTACAGCCACGGTGCCTTTTCAGAGGGCTAAGGGGAATTGCTCCATGAGCCTTCCAGCCAGCTGAGAGTCTCACAACTCTCGAATTAGCACTATCTGCACGTCAATAAAGATGTTTTCATTAGTCTTTAATGAAATAGTTCTAAAATTACAAAGTATTCATTTCAATAGGATTTCCCTGTTATTTTTCGAAAAGATACTGTTCAATGTTTAAAAGATACATATATACATATATCCTGGTGCCTAGAGGATTTCAGACTCCTCAGCTGAAATACTAGTTCTGCTTTTGTGTGTTTTAACAATGCATTGGAAATCCTTACAAGCAGCATTTATGGGGCACTTCTGTCCATCACTCCAGCAATATAGATTAAGGCATTGCTCATCTTATGAAAAAAGATAAGTAGCAAATGGAGCATAAGGCACCCAGATGAAAGACTTTAAGTATGTAAGTTGGAAGTTCTGCAGAAAACTACACAAAAGCTGGGGCAAATTGCAGAAAGAAAAGTCCTGCCTGTTTCTGAGATAAGGAACAATTTGAAGCCACCATCAGCACAATACAAGTTACTGTAACATCATTATAGAAACTGCAGTTTGGAAGATCTGTTCCAGAGTCTTTTAGGGCTGGATGCAGTCCTCATAAGAAACAATGGGTCCCTTGTCAATGAATGCATTAAATGCTGGCAGATATCTGTAGCACTTCAGGGAAATAAGCCTCTGGAGCTGAACCTGGTAAAATCTAGAAGAGCGGAGAGTTGTATTTGTGTTTGTGTTCAACTCAATGCCTTGCATTTGTTGACCTAAAGCCAGTACAAAATTGAAATGTGGTTGTAAAAGTCCATAACTGATGTTCACAGTATTGTTGTAAGAGACACATCTTAGAAAAGACCACAGCCTTTTTCGTAACACCTATGTCTTAGGGGTTCTTCTAGCACCAGTTCCTATGGTCTAATTCAGAAGTAGAAATGATTGATCATGTTTTATAACATGTAATTACTGTATGCAAGGCAAAGATCTCTTAATTTTTTTTCTTTTAGATTGTTGGCAACCTCCTGTACTATCGCTACATGAACCCTGCCATTGTTGCTCCTGATGGTTTTGATATAATTGATATGACAGCTGGGGGCCAGATACACCCTGACCAGAGGAGGAACCTAGGTTGTGTGGCAAAAGTCCTTCAGCATGCTGCTTCTAATAAACTCTTTGAAGGAGAGAATGAACATCTGTCATCTATGAACACTTACCTCTCGCAGACATACCAGAAGTTCAGGTACGCAAAGTCCCTCACAGATAGCTACACAGTAAGATCTCTCCTCTAGGATGAGTAAGGCAGTGGGGACTCCTTGTTTATAGGAATTCCCTGGCTCACAGTTAAAAATGTTGAGTGATCTACCATAAAGAAATTCTCACTGGAAGGAAGCCTTTCGGCTTCCTTACTGCAAACACAGACTATGAGAGCAGTGTGGGGTGAATCATTATCCAGCAGAAATAATGTGTTCTTTGGGTTGGGAGCACAGCTGAATGTTTTGTCTGAGGAAAAAAACTTATTGATCAGGAAAAAGTTGTGGGGTTTTTTTTATTCTTTCATCTTTGCTGAGAGATTTCTCACAGATTTTATTCTTTCACCTTGCACAGCCATAGGAAACTGCATGTTTTGCTACACTCTAGGTCACAAGTTCTTTGTGATTATTGCCCACCTTTTTGGGTGATTACTGTTATTTGCTTGAAGTGTTGAGTCTTGTGACAAACTCACTTTCAGAACTTCTACCTTTAGTGTCTGCCCTTCTTGAAAGCAAATGCATTGTTCATAGAATGCATTTCCTTGAGAGAACAGCCATGAACACAAAGATACTTAAACTAAGACATTCTGTTTATTGAAGTATTTAAGGGCATGACTTAAACCTGAAGAAACAACAAGGTAGAAAGTGTTTTAGCTAGAATACCAAATGCTAATGAAAGTGAGCCTTCTTTAGTTGGCCCTTTGGTCACTACAAAAGGAAAAATCTGTCTCCTAATTAAGCTAACTTTACACAAAACTGAGTCTCTGGATGACTGCGCTCTATATTTTAACCAAACCCTCCCTAGGCAGCAACAGTGGCTGCTCTCATCCAGTAACTGCAATTGCAGTATTGGCTACGTTTAAAGTTACCAGCCCTGCATAGATCTTTTACTGTGCATTTATGAACTTGTGCAGGAATTTGGCCAAACTTTTTTAAACCTTCTTCCTTCACAACGTCCTTCTGTAGCCATATTCAGAAGTTTGCTACGTGTCAGTTAAAATAGTGCTTCTTTTCATTATTCGAAATTAATATTTTCCTGCTAGTTTCATTACATACCCCCTTGTCCATTGTCGGATTTGATGAATGAATTCTGCACCCATCTCATGCAACACCACTGTCATTTTCTGCAACTTGAGCATATCTCTCAGCTTGTCATCTCCAAACTAAGGAATCCCAGCCTTTTTTTTTTTCTTTTTTCTTCTTCCCCTAATACAACTTTAAAGGACTTCTGAGCCTGAAACATGCATTGTCCTCAACAGTGCAGGGCTGGCACAGTGAAGGCAAGACAGCTCCTGCAGTATCACTGTAGGTAGGCCTCATTCAAAACCCTACCTTTCCCAGCTGCTTGAATTGAGGTCCTCTCCCTTTGGAAAACAAAGTGGTCCTCTGACAGAAGGATCTTGCTGTTTCTTGGTTGTCTGTGCACATCCCGGAAGCTGTCAGTGGCTTGGAGAGACATCTGTTGTCTCTCTGAGACCAGGTCTCGGCTATCCATGTACGTGCCAGTCATGTCAAAGTAATGCTTCAACCATATTTTATTTTGCATTTTTTCCTCTTAAGATTCTTGCATTTATAAACAATACCACATTTTCTGTCGTTACAAACAGCTCAATTTCTGAGTAACAGCAATTTAAACATTTGTAGGCCAAGTGGTAATTTTGTGCAGCTATTTAAAAAAATTTCTTCTCGGCACACTTCATACTACAAAGTACCTTCATAAGACTGGAAAGTCTTTCTAGGGAAATCCTTTCATAACTTCTAGAGCATTAACTACAGACTTCTCTAAGTGTTTAAAATTTACCACAGTTGGAACGCTTCATCATTTGTGTGGATGTGTAAATGCGTTCCCTCTATAAGGTTCTTTCAAACACTAAGTGTAGACTGCACATTAAAAAAGAAATATAATGTATGTCAAAGACTTGATTGTGTTTTTTTTAATACAGGCTAACTGAAGTGAGTTTACTGGGGACAATTATTCAAGTCTTTCTTATTTTCTCTTAGGAACTTTTTTCAAGCAGCATGTGATGTTCCTGAACCAGAGGAGAAATTCAATATCGATGAATACTCTGACATGGTGACCCTTAGCAAACCTGTCATATATATCTCCATCGAAGAAATTATCAATACCCATTCAGTAAGTCAATGAAAATATACTAGTCAACAGACCAAAGCATACAGATTGTGAAATATTTGCAACAAAAAGTCTCTGGGAAAGGCTCAGTGTTTGTTCCTCAATTTGAAATAATTTCTTCAGTTCATCTCTGAAATGGTCTGGAATTGAGTGTTAGATTTCATTTTTTCTAGAAGACTGCTTCCCTGTAAAAGCACCATCTTAGAATTAGAACATAATATGTTCTGATGGGAGAGAGGAACATTTTCCTAATCTAGTGTGACATTTCTAACGTATTTATCACAGAATCACAGAATGGTAGGGGTTGGAAGGGACATCTGTGGGTCAGCTAGTCCAACCCCCCTGCCGAAGCAGGGTTGCCTACAGCAGGCTGCACAGGACCTTGTCCAGGCGGG